ACACACACACACACACACACACACACACACACACACACACTCCTTAATCCCATGAAAAAGGTATTTAAGCCATTTCTTCCAAAATTTCATATTTAAGTAAACAGACACTAGGTTATAAGACAGAGAGGGTTCATGTTTGACTTGTTCTCTCTGCTTTCAGTATACAGCAATATTGGATAAAGAAAGAAAATACAGACTGCAGGAAGTAGGGAGTGGAGTTTGAGTCAGAAATGGCTTCCTGTTTTGCAGCACCATCCTACTTTAATTAATATAAATTCAATAAAGGCTGGAGTGATAACAATAACAATAGCTAATACTTACTGAAGACTTACCACACTGTTCCAAGTGCTTCATTCATCTTAACTTATTCAATCCCTGTGCAGCCACTGCCTAGGGTTTTCACTGAATGCATTTTATCTTCCTCCTAAACACTGCTAGATTGCACATCTTCCCTTTCCTTGTGGCCAAATGGACCAGGCCAATAGAATGTGAGTGGAAGTGACCTGCTCATCATTTCTAGGCCTACCCATATTCCCCTATGCTCTTCCCCCAGCCAGCTGTATGCAAAGACCCTGAGTGCCCAGGTAAAACCAAAGGACAGAAGATCTCCAGATCTCTGGAACCCCATCCCCTGATCAAGAACACCACATTCAATTACTCCATGAGTGAGAAATAAAGTATCTTTGTGTTAAGCTCCTGACATATGGGGTTTGTTTGTTCTAACACTTAGCACTACCCTCATTAATACAATTCTCACAGCTATCCACGGGATAGGTTCCTATCTAAACTAACACCCCAGAGCTGTTAGTGGTTAAGTGAGGATATGAACCTAGGTTGTATGGATGCATTAACCACTGCATTGTAATGTCCTTTAAATAGGCATCTTGCAACTGGAAATGACTTCCTAAGCAGAACACTAAAGTCTAAAACCACATCAGAAAAAATGTGTTAATATATGCACAAATTCAAAATTGTAAAGAAGATAAAGCATGGAATAATATTTGCAATGTATATGAGAAAGGAGAAAGGAGGAAAAAAAACACTTAAAAATCAATAAAGCAGGGCTGGGAATGTAACTCAGTGGGAGAGCACACACCTAGTATGTGTGAAGCCCCTGATTCAATCCTCAGCACAGGGGAAAGGTGGGAGGAGGAGGAGGAGAAAGGAAGGGAAGGAGAGGGAGGGATGAAAGGAAGGAAGGATAGATAAATGCCAAGAGAAAAAGAAGCAAAATAAATAAATGAGTAATTTATAAGGAAAGAAGCATGAAATAATGAAAAACATAAAAATATCTAACCTCACTAGTTAATAAAACAAAACATTTAAGATATCATTTCTCACCTTAGTTGGCCAATATTAACAGGACAACAGCCCACACTGGTGAAAGTGACAGGAGCCATTCCCCTCACTACAAGTGAGATCCTAAAGTCAGTACTGAAACAACGGGCACGGTACACCAAAAGCCTTAATATGGACAACTTTTTTAAAAACCAGGTATGTCATTTATAGGCATTTAGCCCAAGGTCTGTTCTTGCTGTCCTATAGCCCCTTTCCAACAATAGCTGTTTCCTTCTCACTGCCCACGGTCCACATCAGATGGTCTTCATATGCCCAGGCCACTTTTTTCCTTCCTTTTCTTCCTGATTCCAATTTCCCTGAAGCATACGCCATCAGACAAGCAACAGGCTCGCTCTCCTTGGTCAAGTCCTCTACCAACTTCCCAGGTGCCCCATTTACCAGCCACACCACCTTCCTCTCCGCCCCCAAACATTTAACGTCATTTCCAGTGGCCTCGGCATCTACAGTCATCATCCTTCCGGTGCCCTGGGGCCTGTGTACTTCACTACTTCTACTTTACCTCACCCTCAAGCACCCACACCCCTGGCCGTCCCTCAGGTTTGGTCATTGCCGACTCTGCTCCACCTTAAAATCTCAATTTCATGCACATCACTCCTCTACTTTCAGCCCACTTACCCCCCTCCACATCCTTCAACCACTGGAGCCTCCTATTCATCTTTGCTACCACTGCCTCAGTGCTCACCACTGTACCCTCATCCCTGCTGTCGGCTTCGACTCCAGGGTTCACGGGACAGTCCCTCCATAATATGGGCTCTCAACCCTCTCCACCTGCCAAGCCCATCCCCATTAAGTGACTCTCCAGTGTTCCCAAGTCAGCACCCAACTGGGAGAACACAGCTGGGGAAGAACACATGGTAGTCCTGAGTCTTACTAAACAAACCCAAAACTCAAGTGGATGCTCTCTTAGCTTTCTTCTGAATCGCTTGTATTTCTCCAGCCAATTCAATCTTGCACTCTCTCAGAAACCTGTTTACAATTCCTCTCTCCTTAAATCTCCGACAGCCCCGCTCCCTTTCTTGCACCTCACTCTCTGTTCACTGAGAAGACAGTCACAATCCAACGCATGCCACCAAATCTCCCCACAGAGTCTAAGGAACCTAGATCTGGAGTCAAACTGCAGAGTCCACGCTCCAACTATGAAAATGGAAGAACCGAGCCCAATCCTATCAGGGCCCCCCTGCCCTCTCCCGGATCCTCCCACCAGCCCAGAAACATGTGATTCCACCAAGAACAGAGTCTCTATATGATCATGAGTCCACAAAGGCAGGAATACACTTTGCTTCATCCCTGCTGTAGTCAAGAATCGTACCAGACCCACAGCAGGCTCTAAATAAGCATGTGTGAGATGAGTAAGTCCCCAGAGAGACATGTACAGAAAGATGTTCACGGAAGCACCCAGCAAGAAATTGGAAATAACCAAAAGGGCCACTGGTAAAATACAGCACATCCACTCTGCAATCCTAGGGACTCACTCAAGCTGTACTCTGAGTGACAGCCAGCAAGCTATGTGACTCACAGGCCGAATCTGGCCCATATCTTTTTGTACAACCCATGAGCAGTTGTTAACATTTTTAAATGGTTGCAAAAAGGAAAAATAATATTTTACGACACATGAAGATTATATGAAATTCAAATTCAAGTGTCCACAAAAAAAAGTCTGATTAGAACACAACCACGCTCATTTGTTTTTATGTCATCCACGGCTGCTACTTTCATGCCAAATGGCAACATTTATTGTCATGAAGACAAAGGGCCCTCAAAGCCAAAAATATTTACCATCTGACCCACTATCAAAAAAGTTTGCCAACATTTGATTTAGAGTCATATTTATTAAAATGGGGAAACTATCCACAATATGCTGTTAAATGGAAAAGTCAGATTTCAAAATAATATAGTATAATCCTTTTATTAAAAAATTTGTACCAATGGAAAATGTACATGCACTAAAAAGTCTATATAGTAAAAAATAGTATTATCATCATTATTATTTCACAAACACATAGAGGACCTCAACTGTGTTTTATGGGAGGGCACAGGACATACAGCAAGAGGCCACTGCCCTCAATGAGCTGGTGAGCTAGCTTTCCAGGAATGTATCACCATTCGTCCTCTCAGTTATTTACCTGTCCATCAGTCAAGGAACTACAATATTTGATTATTCCCTCATTCAGCAGACAAAAAATAATTTTTTTTTTTAAGAAAGCTTTTAAGGCCTACCATGAATCAGCACTAGGTACACATGGAAGATGCCACAAGAAATGAGAGGGGGAAGGCGGTTATGGTGGCACATGCCTGTAATCCCAGTGACTTTGGAAGCTGAGGCAGGAGGATCACAAGTTCAAAGCCAGCCTCAGCAACAGCAAGGCGCTAAGCAACTCAGTGAGACCCTGTCTCTAAATAAAATACAAAATAGGGCTGGGGATGTGGCTCAGTGGTCGAGTGCCCCTGAGTTCAATCCCTAGTACAAAAAAAAAAAAAAGAGAAAGAGAGTGTGAGAGAGTGCGTGCACAAGTGCACTTCTGTGCTGGGAACTTCCAATTAGTGGGAATACAGATTTCCAATGTTCATATGTACTTCCCTACATAAATGAAATAAAGGCCCTCATTTGTTCATCTCCAAAGAAGGACACAAAAGAAAAAAAATTTAGAAAAATAGATACTAAATATAAAGAGTGTTGACTTCACCAGATGGCAGGAATACTTCAATTTATAAAGAATTTTTTACATATTTCAATAGTTTTCTTAAAATTGTATAAATAAAACTGGGTACAGTAGCATATGCCAGTAATCCCAGCAGCTCTGGAGTTGGAGGTGGAGGATTGCAAGTTCAAAGCCAGCCTCAGCAATTTAGTGAGGCCCTAAGCAACTCAGTGAGACCCTGTCTCTAAATATAATATTAAAAAAGGACTGAGGATGTAGTTCAGTGGTTAAGCGGTTGTGGGTTCAACCACTGGTACCAAAAAAAAAAAAAATTATAAATAGGTCTTGCTTTTATAAACAGTTCTTTAAAAGTACAGCTTCCATGGAGTGGGGGAATGGCATGAGAATCTATTGGCAAGTGTCTAAAACCCAGGTCCACAGTTAAGGTGGCAACAAATAACCAGGAGGAAAGTTGTAACCCAGATGGGTAAGTAAAAACCATTTACATATAAAACAATCTTGTGACATAAGTAATATCTTCTTCCTTACTTCCTGCTGACCCAGAACTCAAGGCAAGCCTGTGAAGACTCCACATTACACATCAGGAGCTACTGCAACCTCCTCCCAACTGCTCGTCAAGGAGCGCCCACACTTCTCATCCCCTTACCATTACAGACTAGAAAGGGCAACGCCTTACCTTTTGTACTTTTCCAGAAGATTCTTGGCTTGCTCTTCAGCAAACAGAGCCCCAGCAGGACAGTCTGGGAAGTCACCCGGGATGTGAGGTAACCTTTTATACTGAGAATGCATCAGCGCCTCTTTTAACCCTCCAACTCTTGCACCTCGGTAGATCTAAAAGAAACATCAAGAGCTATTTTCAATTTAACCAACTTAAAGTGAAATTGCTTAATTGTTTGTAGGGGGAAAACGGGAAACAACATAATGTACATCAAGAAGAAAACAGATAAACACATGGTGAGATAATTCTGAAAATCCATGGCCATACAGTAGTAAAAATGAATGAAACTGAACTTCTTCAACCAATGTGGAAAAAGCTCAGTATCAAGTGAACACACCAAGAAAGACAAGCATAAATACAATGAGTTATGTAGTTTAAAAACATGTCACATGTACTTATTTTACTGTGGGATACAAACTTTCACAATGCCAGAATGGTGATTATTTCAGGAGGAGAAGGAGAAATGAGATTGGAGAAAAGGACACAGAGTAGTTCCAGGGAATCTGTATGTTTTATTCTTCAGCTGGATGGCAGGTGAGGGATGCAGGCATCCATTATATTGGTATCTTTTCTTTTTTTTAATGCTTGAATTTCATAATTAAAAATTAAGTGGAATTACTTTAAAGTATTCCCACTGGATTTCATTAAATGAATGTCCCTTGCACTAAGCACTAATGGCTAAAAATTAATTACCTACATCAATCTAACATTCTAATATGCCTTTTACAATTTCTAGCATCAAAGTATATTTATACTAACCAGAAAAAAAAAAACAGAATAGATTTTAATAAAAAATTTAAAATAACAGTACTATGGGCTAGGGTTGTGGCTCAGTGATAGAGTGTTTGCCTAGCATGCACAAGGCACTGGGTTCGATCCTCAGCACCACATAAATGTACAACAAAGACACTGTGTCCACCTAAAACTAAAAAATAATTATTTTTTAAAAATAAGAGTAAAAAAGTATATTCTATATATCCATGAAAGTTGTCTTTTGCTTTTAAACTATTATAGATTTCTTCAAGTTAAAAACACAACATTTTGTTGCTATTAGTAAAAACTCAAGCTACCTTTAAAAGCTTCAAAAATTTATGATACGTTACAACAGGTCTTAGTAATGAGAATCTAGCTCCAAGGACTGTTTCCATGAAATAACCATATCCCAGATTATAGATCTAAGGGCAGAAATATACCACTCAGATTCTAAGTTGTACCCAAAGTCTGGCATTTAGTATTTATTAGGGATGTATTTTAAATGTTGCAACTGTTAGTCGGAATCAAAAAGTAACTTACGAATGGAATCCAGAAAGCCATGCCCCAGCCCTTTGGGAGTAGGACATCCCAGCCACTTCCCCAGCCCAGTCGCTCTTCACCAGTCACTTTTCCAGGCTGCTGAATCAAAAGGATAGGTATCTTGGATTCATGGGGACCTAAAACAAGCTGTGACCCAGGCACCAGCAATTCACTTCTCATCCGGTTCAAATCCTAAAGTGGAAGAAAATAATTCAAGACAAACAAATAAAAGAAGTAAAAAGTAAAAGAAGGTACAATTAATAACAACAATTGGAAAAGTACCCTGGCTTCTGAGAAAATTTCTCACCAGGCCTGAATGATTTAAAATAGAAGATGCTATATAAATGATTTGTTTAGTGGAATTTAAGGAGTGGCTAAAAACATACTTTCATTATTTCAAATATCTACTGAGCAAATACAGTGACAGGCACTTTTCTAGAACCTGGGGAAAGTAGTACATGGCTCTAGCTCTCTTTCAACTGAAATTCTAAATCCAAGCTAAAATGTGAGAAGCTAATCTACAAGTCTCCTTTCCTATTTTCCATCTTCCAGCCAACCACCAAGTCTTCTCAATTTTACTTTCTAGAAGGTATACTAAAAACCCCAGCTCTTCTACTCCAGCCACACTGCCACAGTTCAGACTCCCATCATGTCATCATCCCATCTGGATTATTTCAAGGCTCTCTTCTGCAGACATCCAAACCAGAGACCTCCTTCCAAATCCTAGCCACTCCCCATTCCTTCCCCTGTCTAATCCACCCATCACATGGCTGCCAGAATGAAATCCCAACATGTTATGGCCTGCCTTGAAACCTTCAATGGTGGCCTACATCATCATTCCAAAATCTTAAATGTCTTAAACTCTTTTATGCTCTGACCCCCATTTATCATTTCAGTTTCATCTCCTAACCCCCTACTGACTCCTAGCTCATGACCTGCTAGGAGATACATGAATGGGTCATTTGGTCTGGGTCACTGCACACAATTGTTCTCATTTCCTGAAATCCTTTCTCTGCTAAAGCCTCAACCCTACCCACCAAGAAGTATGGTTAATTTAATTCTGACTCCTATTTGAGAGTAAGTGCAAATACCAGCTCCACCATCCTGGAGGCAGGCCTCAATTTCTCTACTCTGGGTTCAGAACCCTTTTCAGAGGCTTCCTCAGTACCCTATACCTCAGCCACATTATAGTCCTCTATCCCAGCATCTAATACAACACCTGGCTCTGGTGAGAGCTCATTCACCATGAAATTAGAGACAGACAACATTTAAGGGGGCAAAAATGATTAAAGAACAATGTATTTAAACCATAAGATTATCACTTTGAGAAAAAATACATTGTCTAGAGATCATTCTTTCCTAAGAACAGAAAAAAAAAATCACAATATATATCATGAACAAGGAATCCATAAAATGTTTGAAAATAAAGTCTGTGAGCCTCTGTAAGGTACAAAATCACTTTTTATGGTCTCTAGAATGATAAATTTCAGCCATCATTCATGATTTTACCAGTAATCCTTACTCTATTAGTTACCTGATCCGAGATTTTATTCTCTGTGACACTCTTACAGATATCTTGGTTCCAGATAAAGCTATGCGTACACTCCACAGGCACACCCTCCAGAAGCAGCTGTCTAACTTTCTCATTATCTAAGAGGGAAAAGAAATATCCTTCAAACCACATCCTTAAATCAATGAAATCCTTAAATCAACACTCTAAATGCTGGCAATATACCTTTTATGACAAGAAAAATATGTGATAGGCTTTTATTTTGTTTATATATTTTGGGAGTACTGGGGATTGAACTCAGAGATGTTTTACCACTGATTTTTTAGTCTACCCAACCTTTTTATTTTTCATTTTGAGACAAGGTCTCACTAAATTGCTAAGGCTGGCCTTGAACTTGTGATCCTCCTGTCTCAGTTCCCTAAACCACTGGGATTACAGGTGTGTGCTACCACACCTGGCTTGATAGACATTTATTTAACTACAGAACTTACTCGACAAGTTCTTAACAGTTGGTTTCAGAGTTTATGAAGCCACAAAGGCTGCTAAGCTCTTTAATAATTATTTTCATGCATAGGAAGCAAGTATTGCAACATTAAATTAGCTCTAACCATGGAATTCCATGTTTAAGATAATTCTAAGAAATGTCTTCTTCTGCCCCTTATCTCAAGTCTCTCATAACCTATTTTTATGAAGCTATTTTTGAAAATACATATTCCTCCATTCCCTTAAGATGAGCATATTTTCTGTGAAATGTACGGTTTTGTCCCAAGGCATGCCACTCCAGAAAGTGCTCTACTGGATAAGGGGGAGTTTCAGTGATAAACACCTATACTGATAGAAGATACTTCCTACATGCAGTCGTGTAATCACTAGGGGGAAAAATCTTTTAAGACTAATTCTGTTGAATTGAATTTTTTAAAAAAATTAACGGTTAGACAAATCATGATTTTTTGGCTGATTCTAAAATGCCAACACAAAAACATCACTCAAAAGCACATACCTGTGTGAGTCTGATGGCTGGGAAAAAAATAAATTGGAAGTGACCAGGCCACAATGTGAGAGATTTCAGGGGAAAACAAAGTTGGAGAAAATTAAATTAACGAACAGCTTTGAGATCTAAATTGCTTATAAGCAACAACTGCTTCCATATGCTGCTCTTCCTCACACAGACACTAAACAACAGTCTCCAGCACCTTTTACGTGCTGTGAAGGTTCACATCCTATCTAGGAGTGGCAAGATCCCTTCCCAACAATCCTGGTGTACCCAGAATGCTTTGACACGGATCTGAATGACAGAACTGAGTTGCAGACAAAAGAGATGGCTGATACTTAAGGTATAAAGCACTACCTCATCTTCAAATATTCTAGATGATAGAATACTATCCAGTACCAAGAAAGAAATAAGCTACCAAGTCATGAACAGACAGGAAAGAATCTTAGGTGCACATTTATACCAAGAAAAAGGGACAAACCTGAAAAGGCAATATCTGTAAGACATTCTGGAAAAGGCAAAATTATGAAGACAGTAAAAAGATCAGGGTTGCCACAGGTTACCAGTTAGAAAGGCTACAGCCTTCAAATTCAGTCTGCTTTATAAATTTGTATTCAAGTTTAAGTTGCCCAGCTGAAGACATGGTGTGTTTTCAACCCAAAAGCAGAAACAGAGAAGTTATGGCAAAAATGAGCATTAACTGGGCACTCCTGGAGGTCAATTGCAGCTCTGGGCTCTAAAAGTGCTTGCAAGAGCTGTAAAAAGTAAAGGAATGATCTCCCACCTACCAATCTGGACTCTTCCTGTACTATGGGTAGCAAAGTTACATAGCCAAAGAGTGCTTAATGAGAAGGATTAAAATAATCCCATAAGCACAGTGTAAATTCAATATTTTTTTCTCCCCCCTTTTTCTTGAAGAGAAGAGGGTGATGAGGATTAAACTCAGGGCCTCACACTGCGCGCTACATTCTAGTCCCCATTGACCAATGTTATTACAAATTCTTCTCTGGCAGACAGGGACTAGTTAAAATAATCTATCAAAGCAAATCAGTGAATGCTTAGGGAAACAAATAGGATAACAGAAAATATTGTACAGATTTGGGATTCTGGTGGTTTTTTTTCACCCTACGTTGTTCGGTTTTGAGCCCAGGGTCTTGTGCATGCTAGACAATGCTCTACCACTAAGCTACACTCCCATTACCAGATTTATATTTTTAATTCTCACCTAGAAAGCCAATTACTTATACAGTGAAATGCTGTGTTAATGAAATTGAAAAGCTTTGCAAAACACATTCTTAATACTAAATCTGAACTTAGGAACCTAATGATCAATTAAACTTTTTTCAAAGCATCTGAGAATATATGTCTTCACCTCAGGTTCTTCATGTACCTTCTCTTGAAAAGCTCTCTAACTTACACAATACACAATACACACAAGAAAATCATTTGTTATTCAAAGCAGGCAACACCTTCTTTATGGTTTAAGTCACACCAGAACTGATCTTTTTGATCTAAGTCAAAATAGGCAGATATACAGACAGACTGAAACTGTATCAGAGAATTAAAATTAAGACTCTACAAGGATTGATTTTTTTTTAGTTTACCCAGCCCACCAAAATATACTTCTACCCCTTGTTTAGACTTGTTTTCCTAAATGAGATGATACACTTATTAATAATATTGATATAATACTAAACCTTTAAAAAGTCTTACTTCTTTATGTAGTTCATATATCTTCAAAGGAATTATAGTACTTAATACAGGTTCTAATGGAATGCCACTAACTAGATGGTTAGCTTTTATAGTGGAAATTAAATCATGTGTCTCAAAACAGACTTTAATATTCCTGAAACTAATTCATATTAAGATAAAAGCCTTAAGAAGGTTTTAATGTAGGACTGCCTCATTCCAAAAAAGAATTTTGAAGTAGCAAGAGAAACAAAGTAAAGTTCAGGTGGTTATGATAGCATTTAATAGCACAGTAAATGCAACAGTTTTTATTGTTGCACTAGAGCACATTGGTATTAAAAAAACAAAGACTGTGACTCACTGATTAAAGTCTTAGGCCCCAGAATTAACTAACTTACTTATGCATCTTTAAACTCCACTCTCATGCTATCCACCTTTTATGTGAAGTTCTGACAGGAGTTTATTACCTTTAGTAAGCTATCTAACTACATGTGAAAAGATTAAAAAAAAAAAACTGAAGTTGTTATGAACACATTTGCATTTTTCTCCCAAAATTCACAAGCTAATTTTAATTATTCTTCCAATTAATGGTGTTTAAATGATAGTAAATACAAGAAGACATTATCACAACTGCTGCAAATCCCAGATTAGACTAAAATTTTAGCAAGCCCCACTCATACACCTACTCCCTCCCCCAGCCAATGAGCTTCTTCAGGCATCTCTAATCAATCAATACAAGAAATCTGATACTTCAGCACCTGGGGTGGCCTTGCCAGGATTCGAACCTGGATCATCTGTATGGTCAAACAGAGGCTTCCACTGAGCACAAGACCAGCTGCGGGTGCAGATCCCTTCCTCACAATTAAAATTCTGAAACACCAGGCATTTCAGAGAATTCAGTTTGCAGACAGGTTTTACTAAATACTAAAAAATAGAGAACTCAGAAAAAAATTTAAAATGAACACAAGCTCCATAGTTTACAGCTGAAAGACACACTCCCACGTCCCCTGATCATAACTGCCTCATAGCAGAGGAAGGTAAAGATCCCCGATTTTTTAACACAGAATTGTTAACAGGACTGGACCGTGCTCAACAAAATGAGGGAAACCAGGGGTATTGCAAGCACTTTACCTTGGCATTTTTCTGGATTGGACAAAGCTCTGGATCGCTTTGGAGGCAAATTTATTCGTGGATCCCCAACTGTCAATCCCAGAATAGTACCTGCTGGAATTTCTGCCGGTGATGTTATTCCTTTAAATAAAACAAAAACAAAGTAAACAAGCAAAAAAGCAAGCTTACAGAGGGTAATTCACAATACAAACATATATGCTTGTATTTTCAAATCTTTCAAACTTTTTTTGGACTAATTATTTTAAAAACATAATTAGTTTTTATTTCCCGTCCCCCCCCCACCAATTGATAATTTTAGAGAATAACCTTTTTTTTAAAAAAAAGGGGGTTTCTTGCAAAAAAAAAGATTCAACGGACATAAAAAAGGTTATTTTATAACATGAACACATAGGCTTCTCTCAGCTGTAACAGCTATGACCACAAGTAAACATGAGCAGTAACTAAGGATTTTTGGTCACAACCTGACATATGCATTTATTTATAATATCAGAATGCCAGTTATTTAGAATACTAATATCTCATGGGCTTATTGTTTGGTGATTGCCGTGCTCTGTTTGTTGAGTTCAGGCACCTTCTCTACTTGCTTCTCTTGCTACATCACTAATAGCAGCAAGATAAATAAGACCACTCATCAGACACCCAGATGCAATATGCTCTCCTAAACCACATGCCGTGCCTTCCTTCCTCCTGGTACAACCCAGCATTTCCTCCACGTACCTCCCAACAATTCAAAAACAGCTTCTTGTCTGTGATGAAGGGAAACATTATCAGGGTTTTTACATGTATCACTCCACCAAAGGTGAGGCGTCTCCCCTGTGTCTGCTTCCCCCTGAAAAACAACAGATTCTCTTCACCAGATGCATAATGAATCAGACTTAATAATTTTGTTATGATTATGGTATCAGTCCCCACCCCTTGTGTTTCTGTGTGTGGGAATGACTATTTCATGAAGAGTAGCAGGCAAGTTGCCACTGTTTTTCAAAAAGTAATTACCACCAGACTAAGTACTCTTCTAATTAGGAGCATGGTCATGGTATTAATCCTTCTCTCAGAATTTCACATACTAGAAAATATAGCCATGATTTTCAGAGACACTGCCTACCTAAGCTACTTTACACTCCCAGTCTCTCTCGAGCAAATTCCAACAAGAGGCCTTGTCCTCTTCTCTTATCATCACCTTCATTACCTCCAACTTAAGAAAAACACATTCCTCATCAAATGAAAACCAAATCTGTACCTGGAGATGTCATCTTCGAGTAAAGGATATATTACTACAGCAGTATTCTTAGAAATGTTGATAAAATGCACAAGCACCTCACTTTCCTAAAGAGAACAAGGAAATGAGCAAGGTTTCAAATAGCATGCTGTCTCATGGGTGCATGCTAGGAGAACCACTGTCTGTGATTCATTTGGAGGTTCACTGAAGAGGACATGTTCCTACAGATCCTACAGAAGCCACAGGCACCATTCACTTCACAGAACTCAGGTAACAAAGCTGAGCAGTCTGGAGTACAGGCTCTAGAACCACACTTTTTAGATTCAAAGTTCCACTCCAAAACTTATTAGCTACCATGGAGCACCTTCTCCATCTGGGCACTATGCTAAGCACCTAGGACAGACTAATAACAGGACCAGCCTGCCCTTGCTATCATGAAGCTTACTCTAATAGAGAAACAGATGTTACATATATACAAACACACCTGAGCAGATAAACTAAGGAAATACACAAGATGCTATGAAAAGAAAAGGGATATAATTTAACTTGAGGAATCAGGAAAGGATTACAAAGGGAAATGATACAAACTGAATGGGACAACTGACTCTTGAAGAATGAGGAAGGTTTATCCAAGCAGAGTGATGGAGGCAGAATGTTCAGCAGGCAGGAAAAAAAAAAAAAAAAAGGTGCAAAGGCCTTGAAGGAGATGAGAAGTGACACATTCTAGAACCTGAAAGGCCAGCATGGCCCAAGTGCAGAAGCTGAGGGCAGATGAGGCCAAAGAAGCAAGAAAGCCCAAGATTATGCAGGTCACATTTAGAACTTTGGATTTCACCTTTAATATGATGAGAAGCTACTGAAGAACTTTTAATCAGGAAGCAACAAGAAGTGAATAAATTCCTAATCTAGTTTCCATGCCCCAGACCTATACTGTCTAACACTACAGCCATGAACCGCAAAAAGCCACTTAAAATTAATTATTAATTAAAATTAAATAAAGTACAGATTCAGTCCCTCAGTCACTCGAGTCACAATTCTTGTGTTCAACAGCCTTATATGGCTCTGGCAATAATACTGGAAAGCACAAACCTTCCACAGAAAGTTCTATCCAAAGAAAGGTTATTACATTAAACTTTCTGAGAATCAGAGAAACTGACCCCAGGAAATATGCATCACTCAAGTCAAACACTTAAAAACTGGCATACAATTTCAGGGATTTTTAGAGATGCCCTATTACCCACCCATAGAGCAGAGTTTAAGATCCTTCTACAAGACATCTGGGAGAACAGTCAGTATGTAAAAAAGAAGTCAGTTTACTATCATATCAATTAGATTTGGTCTTTTAGAAATAAAAGATAAAAACAAAACAAAAAAAAACTTTGATAATAAGTAGGGAAATATCCAGGCACAGTAGCACATGCCTGTTATGTAGCCTCTTAAGAGGCTAAGATAAGAGAATCCCTTGGTTCAAAGTCATCCTGGGCAACTTAATGAGACCTTTTCTCAAAATAAAAAGGCTGGGGATGTAGCTCCGTGGCAGAGTGTCCCTGGGTTCAATCCATTCAAAAAAAAAAACAACAATGAAATGAATGTTTAAAAGCCACGGCCCAAGATGTTTTGAGACTATATATTAGATTTCACAAATTTGCCAGGAAAAACATAACAGTCACAGTTACTCTTACAGTGTGCACAGAAGCAACTTTCAGGGCCTCAGTTAGGATACAGTGAGAAAGGGGACCAATCAGCCGGAATCTGTTCATCTCCATGGTCAAATCACTGCAAGAGAGAAAAGATCTTGAAATGGAAACTTCCATCATGCCAGTCTGTGCCACTGGCAAAAATGGGGTGAATCTTTACTGAAAAAGTTCAGGAGGTTCACAGTAAATTCAACTCATACCTGATCACAATACCTGTGGTTGGAGAGATCCAAGAATATGGCTGACATGGATCCCTAGTTCCATCACCAATAACTTTTTTAACTGATTTAGCATTTTCTCTATCATCTTTCCTTTTTCTCTTCTTGCCAATTTTCTCATCAGCCAGTTCAATTTGACTTTCTTCTTGAGATGGTTTCAGAAGTGGGTTAGGAGTACAAATATTTGATTTGATGGGTTCCATGCACTGGCATACTGTTTTTATTTCCTCTAAGATATCCTAAGGATATAAACATTTACTTTAAATTTTGAAATTTAAATATAGTATACAAATTCTATTGGTTTAGTTTATTCTTTACCCTTTACAATTTTCACATTTCCATCCCTTCACAAACCAAAGCAAATTTATCATCATCAAAAAATCTTTTTCCTTTTTTGAACAAGAAAAAAGAAATGCCAAATATTATGAAAACAACATAACCACTATCATAAAATTTTTTAAAGTTTAAAGGAAAAAAATGAGAAATGTTTACAGTGTATGATATAAAAGCGGTGAGAATGCTAAAAAATAAAAAAAATTTAAAAAAAGGAAAGCTAAGCTAAAAGAAGAGTTAAAAATCATCAGAATTACTGGAAACAGTTTCCATTATCAAATAGGCTCTCACAATCAGTGAGGTCTCTGAGAATCAATGCAAGCAGGTGGACACATTAGTCCAAATGCAGCATCTCATATCTTTAGCATAGTAAGGTTGGTTTTCATCTCTAATTCTGCTTATGATTTACTGCATGAGGTCATGATTTGCCTTTTCTAAGGTAGACAAGTGCTGGGGGTCTAATGTATAGCATGAGTGATGATGGATATTTTAATTAATTTGATTGTGGTAATCTTTATACAGTATATCAAAACATCGCTCTGTATACCTTGAACATCTACACTTTACTTGTCAGTTCAATGTTTTTAAGTAAAAAAATTTTTAATAAAAAATAAAAATAAATTTGCTTTATCCAGAATGCATGTACCTTTCCCTACTATATGCTACTACCAAACTATCAGTCAAACTTGTGTACTATTTAAATTTCTGTACTATTGACATCCAATGGTAATTTAAAATGTAATGACAGAATGATGGAGAAATTATTTAAAGGATTATACCTGCTTAAGAGTTGGATGAAGCCAGATCCACAACTGCCTGCTTTCAGAACTGTCTCCAGGGGTCCTCTCAGACTTCCAAATAAATGTAACAGGTCCAAGCATTTCTCTGGGATACTTATTTGCTCGATAAAGCATGAGGCTCCCTTGGCGCTTTCCAGACAAGCAGTGAACTGCTGCAAAGGTCAATCCTGACATAAACACAAGCAAAGGACGGTGATTTCGAGTGTTGGTACTGCGGCATCACCCCCGCCTAGCCACTGTTACTTATTGTCTGTCCAGGAGGGAAAAAGTTTTGGTTTGGATCATGGTTTGGATGAAAGCCTGGTACCTAAGTTCTCAGTAAATATTTATTAAATGAATATTTAATAAGAGTTTCAAGTTGTTTCCTAAGTTCATTCCACAGAATCATAACTCACTTTATACTTAACAATGTTATAAAAAATTTAAATGCCACCCCAACTTTTCTTAAATTAACATAATTATTGGGACCGAGAACTACCTCCCACATTTTTTATATATGTTTAAATTCTAAAATGCTTACAGCAGACACTCAGTTCATGAAATGAATAGGTATCTAAGACTAAAATGGGATCCAGATTTGAAACAAGATTACCTGTGTCTAAGTTACACATTTGAGAAACTGCCTTTAGTATTTCTTCCTCTTTGCCCTTCAGCTCCAAACAACAATAGTAGGATAAATCCTGCACACAGGGAGAAACACAATTAAATTCCTTAGAATTTACATGGGGAAGAACTGCCGAGAAGCCAAAAGCTACATCAGAAAACCTCTAGAGGTCCAAGAGACAGAAAAAATTACCAAAGCTAGCTTTCTTGACTTATTAAGTCAAAAACTGAAACCTGCCATTCCTATTCCATTAGCAAATATTCTTAAACCAATTGAAATCAAAGTGAATCTCCATTTAAAATGCAAGTTACTATGTCCTACTTTTTAGTAAGCAAATCTGTTTTATCCCATAATATTAAGCAAGTTCAAAGTGGTTCAAACTACTACTTCTAAGTAAAAATTCTTCATCCCCCAAATCTATATAAGGTAATAAACTAGAATAAGCAAGACAGCAATAAACTGCAAAATTAAGCTAAGGTTCCTTACTCTGGTTAGCTAACGCAGGACCTCAAGATTATATAACACTGAGTCTAGAGACACATCATTACAAGTAATTTATCCCATCTTCAGTTTTGACCCTCATCAAGCCCTCTGCCACAACACCGTTAGCAATTTCCATCAACTGACCCTAAAAGGTGAATTACAGCTGTGATTCTGGCAAATTCTGACCAATTGACGCCATCACTAACACATAGAAATCTTCCTACCAATAGTCCCTTGCTCTCAGTTAACAGTGGCCAAGAGGAATCTCATCAGAATTTGTATAACTGGGTGACAGCACAGAATAATGGTGGAACACTGAAGTCTGACAACCTGGGCTCAAAGTTCAACTTTACCACTCATTGTCTGCTTGGGAATAAATTACCTCACCTTTGTGTACCTTAAGTTTCCTCATCCGTAAAATGGAAATAATGGTAACTATCTCCTTTGTGCTGTTTGTTGTTGTAAGAATCAAATAAAAACACATGTAAATAATTTAAAACAGAGCTGGACATATATTAAGCACTCAAAAGTATTTATTATTATTATTAGCTATCGCTTTTATTATTTAGGGCTGATCAAATGTTTAGAAAATATTTGATAACTTCAATCAAAGATTCTGTCTCTACCCACCACCCTGCTAAAAAATTCTGCCCCAGGGGTTGGGGTTATGGCTCAGTATGGCTTATCTTATACTATAGACTTACTAAGACTATTTATCTCTAGTACCCAGCGAAGCACCTGAGTAATCATTTTTAAGGTGGGCAACTTCACATATAGGACGTGGCATAACATGAATTAGTCAAAAAGTCAACCTTGTGGTGAGCACAGTGGCACACATCTATAATCCCAGTGGCTCGGGAGGCTGAGGCAGGAGATCACAAGTTCAAAGCCAGCCTTAGCAAATTAGCGAGGCCCTAAGCCACTTTGCAAGACTCTTTATCAAAATTTAAAAATAATAATAAAAAAGGGCTGGGGATGTAACTTGATAGTTAAATGCCCCTGGGTTCAATCCCTGGTACCAAAAACCAAAACAGAACAAAAGCTCATCATCATAAAGGGACTAAACAAAAATAGAAAGAAACCCCACTGGAAAAGTATACCTGGAGGAGACAAAGGTTTGTCATGGCTCGATAGCAGGCTCTGTGGCTCTTGACTGTCGGCCTCTCTCCAAGGCAATAGCCCCACTTCTTGACCATGTGAAAGCGTTTGGCATGCCAGATGTGAGTTTCCAACCATATGTTCTTCTTTTGTCTACGGTTAAATTCTTGTATTCGGTTTATATGACATCTTCGAGCCTTATGGCATTTATTTTTGGAATGTTCTTTTTTCTGATGTACAGCTTTCTCTGCCTATAGGTTCAAGAAGAGAGGCAAATCCTACTTTGTAAGCACTTCAGAACCAAATTAAATGTTAGGAATTCAAACAACTAACTTTAGATTAAGCTGTAGAGTACTTTACAGACCCTATTCATTTGCTTAATAACTTAATAACTCAGTAGGTAGAGAATGGACACCATGGGAAGAATAAGAGTTTTAGAGACAGGCATAGCTCTAGTGCTCACTAATAGTACAACCTTCGTGGACTATGAAGATAAAAGTACTTATAATAGGTTCAACATAGCAACATAAGCTTAATATGGCTATTAATAGAGAGAAAAAAGAATAAATCAAATGCTAGCTCATTGATTTTGTTGTTGTTGTTTTAACCTGTATGATTGTAACTAAAACCAAAAATTTAAGACCAAAACTACCAAGTGGGGAAAATCCACTCATTTAATTCAGTTAGGCTACTGACAAACACTAAGTGCTATCACTAGAAAAGAGACCTTACGTTAAATTCAGAAAGTACAAAATTACTGGTTAGTTTTTACTCTTAAATCTCTTCTATAGTCAAGCTAAACTTCCAGGAAAAACAATTTTCTATTAGTTTGTGATCCCATTAAGGATAAGAACTTATAGTTCAAAACTTCAGTTTGTTGAACTATTATCCCAGCACCAGGAGAACACCAATATATAAAAGACCACTAAACAAACATATCTGGAATTGACTGGTAAAGACATGAGCAGCTTAAACAATCTTAACAATGTTCAAATCCAGAATCCTGGTGAAGCCAAAACACAATCAGATTTGTACCAAAATTAAAACCAAATTCAAGCTAGGTGCAATGGCACATGCCTGTAATCCCAGAGATTTGGGAGGCTAAGACAGGAGAATCATAAGTTCAAGACCAGCCTCAGCAATTTAGTGAGGCCCTACACAAGTTAATGAGACTCTGTCTTGAAACAAAAATTTTTAAAAAGGCTAGACACTAGGGCTGGGGCTGTAGCTCAGTGGTAAGTACTTGCCTCACACGTGTTAGGCACTGGGTTCAATCCTCAGCACCACATGAAAATAAATAAAGGTACTGTGTCCATCTACAACTAAAAAAATATTAAGGGAAAAAAAAAAAAGGCTAGAGAGTTAGCTCAATGGTAAAGTGCCTCTGGGTTCAATTCCAAGTACAAAAAAAAAGTTTAAGTTTTTAACTTTGAAATATTAAATGGCAAACAGATGATGGTACCTTTTATAAAAAAAAATTTAAATCTAGAAGGGAAACCTCAACAATTTTAACAGTAATTAAAAAGACAGGTTCCAAATGCTACATTATAAAAACATCTATAGTACCCAATTGCCTCTAATTTGGCACAGGAGGGTAGAGAAGGCTAGGAAAAGATTAAACCAAAAATATGCAAATAAAAAAAAGGATGCCATAATGAATATGATGTAGTCTGGTTTTCCTTTTAATAAATTATTTTCTTTATATTGTATTTTTAGTTGTAGATGGACACAATACCTTTATTTTATTTATTTATTTATTTTTATGTGGTGCCTCATATATGTGAGGCAAGTGCTCTACCACTGAGCTACAACCCAGCCCTAACAAATTATTTTAGGCTACTACATCTCGAGTTCTTTCAGGAACTACTAACCTAAAGCACTGACCTAAATATTTACCTCTTTCTGGGCCATCTCCTGTAACCGTCTAGGGAGGCGTTTGACGTTGTGGCTCATGGCTCTTCGTCTCATGTGTCGTGGCAGAGTCTGGAAAACCAGCGAATTAGAAGACTTCTGGGTCACAGCTTTTAACATGGCACTGATTTCAGCAGCTCGTGCTTGAGCAAAGGTAGAAGCTATCAAAGAAAAGGATGTCATTGAAAACAAGCCTTGAATCTGCACCTTTTCTGGTGGGTTTCAAAAGAAGACAGGTTTGAGGAATGTGTACTTTCAGCTCACTGACTACTCTGACCACATATCTGACTCAATCAATGTCAGTGGTTATTCTGTTAAATCACTGTGAGAGATTCTTCTTCAACTTTTACACTTTTCAAGTCTTCCATTATAATTCAGTTTTACTTTTTCAGTCAGAAAAAAGAGTTTAAAAAAAAACTTAACAAGGAATTTTTTAAAATATGTTTTTGTTGTTGTAAATGGACACAATATCTTTATTTTACTTATCTTCATGTGGTGCTGAAGCTCAAAACCCACTGCCTCATGCATGCTAAGCAAGCGCTCTACCACTGAGCCAAACCTCAGTCCTACAGGAATTTTTTAAAATAGAAATCTACATGTAGTATGGGTGTGTATGTGTGTAATATAATCACAACCATTTTTGTGGAGCTTTTATTTTTAAAGACAGGTCTTGCTAAGTTGACCAGGCTGGCTTTGAACTCCTGGGTTCAAGAGATCCTCCTGCCTCAGCCTCCCCAGTAGCATGCCACCATACTCAGTTTCACAATCATTTTTAAGTGCAATAATCACACAAGAAAACAAAGGGGGGAAAAAAAACAAAATTTTAACAGAGGTTTTGACTCAAGATGTTCTTTCTTAATATTTTTACTGCTTGTTCCAAATGTAACAAATATTGGTTTTCTTTATTGTGATTTTTTTTTTTTTTAAGAGTAAACAGGATGCTAGAGAAATTCAAGTGAATTAATTCAAGAAGGCATGGAAAGACCAAGTATGTGCAAAGAATAAAGGATTTATATGGTAATGGAGATGGAGGTGATAAAGAGACAATGGGAGATGAGGCTGGAAAGGGCTGGTGATAGGCCTTTAAATACAGTCTAGGTATATTAAATTTGGTCCCATCTTTAAAGAATGCCATGCTGAAGAGTGTGGACTGCACATTTACAGGAGTTAAAAGTTCACAAATAAAGACTTATAAAATAGGTAAGAAAAAGGACAGAAAATGAAGGTGGGAGAACCATCAGGCCTAAGGATGTTGTGCCTAAGTCCAGACTGGAGGTGAGAAGGGCCCAAGTGGGTACAACAGAGGAGAGAGGCGAGGGAGGCAGCCAACGCAGTGCAGAGGGCAGAGGGCAATGTGCTGGCATAACTGTGGCAGTAGAAACAATGAGCTCCCAACACAACCAGATTGTACTTCCTTCAATACCCACCGGTTATATACTTGGGGATCTCTTGGGAAGTGCCATCAGGACCTGCTTTCCAGCCTCCCTTTTTTTTAAACATGATTTTGGAGGAAAACTGCTCATTCACACTAGGCTCAGGCAGTGAATGAGGGGTCATCTTGGTTTGCCGCTGTTGTGAAGTTCCAGAATGAAGCTCTAGAATATTTTCAAAAAGAAAACAAAAAGAAATGTGTCACTCTTACCAAGGATAAGCATTACAGTGTAGAAGTAACACCTGTTGAGGACAACCACCTTATAAAGTGATTATAACTATTTCTTTTTTTTAAAATTTGTTTTAATTAGTTACACATGACAGTACAATGACCTTGACATATCATACATTTGAATCAGATGGGATATAATTTCTCATTTTTCTGAGTATACAGGTTGCAGAATCACATTGGTCATGCATTCACATATATACACACAGTAATAATGTCTGCTTCATTCTATTATCCTTCCTATCTTCCCAACCCCTCCCTCCCCTCTCATCACTTCTCTCTACCTAATCTAGGGTAACGCTATTCTTTTTTTTCTCTCACATCTTCATACATGTATTTTGTATAACAACGAGAGTCTCCTTCCACCATCCATGCAATTCCCTACTATTTCTTTTTTAAAAGGAGGGACTTAAGCAGGGAAGTCAAATAACTTGTCAAGGTCAGAAAGCCAGCAGGCAGCACAGCAGAAAATCATGTCAGAATGATGAAAACTTTGAACATAACAGATACAAGAAAATTTTCTTCACTGAGTATTTACAGTACAACATGCACTTTCAACTAGGCTCCTTGCTATGGTCTAAATGCTATGTCCCCTGAAATCCACATGTTAAAGTCATGAAGGTAATGCTATTAAGAGGTATGGCCTCTGGAGGATGATTACATCATGGGAACAGAGTCATCACAAATGAGATTAGTGTCCTTACAACAGAGGCTCCAGAGAGACCCCTCACCCCTCCACTACATGAGGACACCAGGAGAAGGTGCCATCTAGGAACCAGACACAGGACCCTCAACAGACACTGAATTACTGCGTGATCTTGGGCTTCTTGGCCTCTAGAACTGTGAGAAATAAATCTGTTATTTAGAAGCTACTTAGTTTATGATATTCTGTTATATAGCAACCTGAATGATGCTCCCTTTAATTGTGCATTCGGTCTTATACTAATCATCTGGCACACTCAACTCAGAAGCCATTACAGAAAGAATGCAAAGTAAAGTCCCTACACAAATGACAGGGTATTTGAACCATTCTGCCTTTAACATAACATTAGACATCTGTCTGTGAACAGAGAGAGGGCTCGGTGGAGAATTGTATTTATTTCCACTGTGGTGTGAATTAGTACATCATGTAATCTTGAATATGTACATGGTTTGTCATTCTGAGTTTTAACTGAAATAATATGCACGAAGAAAAGCTTGTCACCTGCCATGGCAGTCCTCAACTACTGAGTCTGAATCTAGATTTTGTGAATTTAGATCTAAAATTTATTTAACCAAAAATTTATTTAAAAGCACAGGCTTTTGCTGTCTTCCCAAGATAGCATTTTCTACTGCTCTTCCCATGAACAACTATTACCTTCCTATCACTTCATAAGGTTCTAAAATCAGCACACAAGTTAAATACAGATATGAAGATGTACCCTATTTCTCTTAGGAAACACAGAAGTATAAATAACAATAAATTAATGCAGTAATAAAATGTATCAGCTTTAAAACATGCATAGTCATACTATAGTAGTCATGTTCTATAAAGTCACAGTGAACACTGAATTAATGAATATTGAACCACTGTTCCTAGGGGAAATAGATAGATGACAGACAGAAGATAGAATTTTAAATGCTAAAAACAACTCATTCTGGTAGATTCTATTTCTTTTCTTCTACAAAAGAGAAAATGAAGTTCAAAAGGGTTAAGTGGCTTGCATGAGGCCACCCCACAAATGAAATTCAAACTACAGGCAGAGCTCCATCTCGGAGAACTGACAAGTAGACACCTGGGAACTTATACATAGGGCAACTTGAATTTCTTCCTATTCTGTGCATGTCCAAAATGACGGCCAAATCTCTATAAGTGTCGATTTGAGGGTTACAAATACATTTCACCAACTTGGCAGATTTGCCAATACGAAATTTGAGAATACTGAGAGTCTGTTGTATCTAGTTTTATTTCAGTCCATTTACTATTTAGGTAATGACTATCAAAAGAACTGGCAAAATTCACTCTAAATGGAAGTAGAGAGAACTTCATGTCATCTTACCTTGCTGTTGAGCTTGGAAAGGTTTCCCTCCTCCATTATGGAGCTTTACACCTCTATCAGCCACAAAGCCAGAGGATAAAGTCACATTAGTGGGCTGGTTTCTCATTTTCTTAGCATATTTTCTTTCTTTTGCATTAGACATTTCTGGAATGGAAGTGATACATTTAGTACAAGAGGGAAACTCCCCTTCAAAAATAATAAATTCAACAAATATTTATGTAACACAAAATTGGATTCTTCAATATAATGCCTTCATTTACTATGGTTAGACTGATGAGACCATATTGATCTACAGCAGGGAAATTTAAAGGAGGCTGTAAATGGCTTTAACATCAAAAACTTGTTTCAAAAGAAAAAAATAAGTTTATTGATGGAAGATTCCCTATTGGAACATTCCAGTCTAGGTTGCCAAGTAATTAAATCTTACATAAATATTGACACTGCATAAAGTTTGTTGAAAGAATAAAACAGCAGATGAGATCACTATGCATGATAAAAAACTGAAATTAGCTAAAACATTTCATATTGATTCTTAGATGAAATAAGAGTCACCCAAATCAATGAAACTTAGAACACTCTACTTCAAACTGAACATAGGTTATTGATGTTTTCAGTTTTATTGCTGAGACAACGCTAACTATATGTTTAATCTACAATAGCAATAGATAATGATTTCAACTTGAAATAAAAAAGACAAAGGATAAAAACCTAGTAGAGCCTGACAGATTCACTCAGTGGTTCCTTAAACACAAAAGGTCCCTTTTTTCACTGATTCAGTCTGAAACACTTGTTTTTTTATTTTGAAATAAAAATCACTAATAATAACCTATTGGTGACATAACTATTATCAATACATACCCTGCAATACAAGCCCCAACTATATCAAAGAGCCAAAAAGTAATTTTAATAAAACAATATGCATTTCTGTATGCAACTATTTCACCACTATACTAGATGACATTATGAAATAGACATTTTGAACCCACAGAACAATCACAGACACTGTCAGCACAGGCACTGATACAAGCCATAAAGCTGGAGAAGGATCCTGGAAGCTCCCACCCCAAGCAAGTTATTAACTCTTTCCTTGCTCGCTGTAAAGAAGTCCGAAAGGTCCTGCAGGTAACACCAGGAGGTAGGGAATCTCAGAGTGCAGACACTTACCAAGCTATTTTCAATGCATTTAAATATTCTAATACTATTTCTGCCTATATATAGAATGACCATGGAGGCAACAGCTACAGTGGCAGAACAATCCACATGTGTTCTACTTGTGCCTCAAAAAGAACAGTGCCACTGGTGATATAATTTTTCAAGCCCGTAAACACTCCTTGGTAAAGAATCCCTCCTTAAAAAAAAAACAACACGGCTTTGACTTATTTCATCCCTACAAAATTCAGTATACATTAAAACTGTGCAACCAATACTTTTACATAAAACAGACTTTGGCTTTGGGTTACTTTGGGGATTTTCTGCATACACAGGGTATCTAACATTCCTGCCCCTGGCCCACAAATGCCAGGAGTGTTACCCCAATCATTATGCTAATCAAAATATTGTACTAATTTCCAAAATCCCACATCAGGATTTGTACCACTTCCATAGAGAGCCACTTAATTAGCTACCACCCATTCACTTAGCTCCTTTTACAGTGCAATACACATAAAAAATTGAGTTAATTTTTAAAGAATGGTACAGTGTTTAGAAACCTTCACTTTAGAGTTAGAAAGATCTGGATTCAAATACCTTCTTAACATTTTTTTGGTTATATAATCTTAGGAAAATTATTTTTCTTCTTTGAGCCTCAATCTCCTCCTCTACAAATGGCAATTATCACAAGGTAGTTGTGAGAATTAAATAATTACATATACATAAGTACTGGCTTTACAAAATACATATACATAACTCACTTAGCATAGGGCTTAGTACAAACTAAATGATCAGTTTACAGGAACTATTATTCTAAAATAATATATCTACACTCAGAAATATTTTTAATTTTATTATTTATTTATTTTTAATTTTTAACATTTTATTTTTTAGTTTTCAGCCGACACAACATCTTTGTTTGTATGTGGTGCTGCGGATCGAACCCGGGCCGCGCGCTCGCCAGGCTAGCGCACTACCGCTTGAGCCACATCCCCAGCCCCCTGAAATATTTTTAAAAATTAAACAATATGTAGAATGTAGAGTTCTGCATAACTGGTTGGCTAATGAAACACATGATTTAGAGTAGTTTGTATTAAGAACAATTCAAAATAGTTTACCAAACAATTTAGTCCACCAACGTTACCTACTTGAATCAAAACTAACCCAAGAAGACAAAGCACACGACCTTAGGATCCCTAGCTTAGGATTAGAATGAGCCAAAGGAAGGCTGGTGTTGGGATATTAGGGTAACCTTGGGATACCACATCTCTGAACTTTGGTTCTAGACTTAAAAAATGAGCATACTGAGCTAGCAGCAGTCCTCAAACAGTTCTTTGGGTTGGGTTATGAATAAAGAATGAATAAGGAATGTATCCTTTGAGATCTGAGATTTCACTTAAAACAGTTTCCAGAAGGAATCTTTATTTTTATTTAAGCTGTAGATGAACAGAATGTCTTTATTTTATTTATTTATTTATTTTTATGTGGTGCTGAGAATTAAACCCAGGGCATCACATATGCTAGGCAAGTACTTTACCACTGAGCCACAGCCCCACCAGAAGGAATCTTTTTTTTTCACATTTTTTTAGTTGTTGATGGACCTTTATTTATTTATATGTGGTAATAAGAATTGAACTCAGTGTCTCACACATGCTAGGCAAGCGCTCTACCACTGAGCTACAAACCCAGCCCACCAGAAGGAATTTTAATGCTTATAACATTCAAGTGGATTTTACATCTATTCCTAGTATTCATAATTTGTTTTCATGTTCATTCATTTCTTTTTCCTTCTTTCTCATGTTCATTCAGTCAAAACTTTAATGAGTATTAAATATGTCAGCTTTACAAAAATGCTTTCCCCACATCTTCAAATAAATGGATATGCCATGTTTTCTCATAGAGCTTAGAATCTGGTTGAACAGACACAGCTATGTATAGTGGACTCCAGTTTGAGAACCTAGGAGGAAAAAAAGAAGATTTTCATTTTCCTTCCAGATCTAAAAAGTTGGTGATTCCTGATTGATAAGAATGAAGTACCTTGTTTCACAAGTAATATTTTACACAAATTACTTGTAATGCTCCAAGAGATCCTTATTTAGAGAATCATACAATGAATTTTTTTCTTTTAAAAATATTTGTTAGTTATTGATGTACCTTTATTTATTTATTTATTTGTTTATATGTGGTGCTGAGAATCGAACCTGAACCTAGGCACATGCTAGGCAAGCACTTTACCACTGAGCCATGATACAGCCGCAGTGAATTGTTTTATAAATAAGAATCACTTCCTAATTATCCAGTTTAATCAATATTAACAAGATTTGGGGTACCTACAATGTGTCTAATATAGTTTCAGGTCATGTGTAATACCAGTATCAGGATGTGATCTTTTTCCTTTAAGAATTTAGTCATCTTAAGCAGCTAACATTAATCGAGAACTTTGTGCCAGGCACTGCCTTATTCATTTAATTATTACAATTATATGAGAGGTTCTTGTGTTATCTCATTTTGTAAATGAGAAAATTGAAACACAAAGCAGTTATTCCACCCATATCCACTAAGCTTATGATTGTCCTGGAATTCAGGATAGTCTGGATCAGGCAGTCTGGTTCTAGTCACCATATTCAAACATAAAATAATTAGAAAATAAGATCACATGTAATAAAATGTTAAATTTTGCAGTATAGCAAAACAAGAAACTGGAAATGAGAAAGAAAAAATGTGTATCAGCAGAAAAAAATCAGTAAGAACACAGAATTTCAGTTAGTTGGAATTTGGGCAGTTAGGGAAGAAGGAGTATTCAGGAATCTTCTGTGTGAATATAGGATTGAGAACTCCGATGACTAGAGTGGGAAGACAGAGAAGATATAGGATAGAGAAGGACAGACTGAAAGATCATATATTCCAGGCTGGAGCTGGAAGATCATTCCAGGCTGGAGATCTAAACCATTGAAAAAGATCTGAAGGTTCCTGAGACAGAAGGAAATCAAAACCTTAACAGTATGTAGGCCAAACAAAGGGATTTTCTTATAGTACATTTTGAAAGCAGGGAGGACAGAGACCTCACCTTTTTTTAACTATTGCATTCCCAGAACTTAGCAGACCGCCCTGCACAAAGTAGGGGAGACATATATATCACACTAACGCACATTACTTAATATGTGTGTATAATGTATATAAATGTATATATATTTAATGTACACAAGCATTCATAAATGAAGAAGTGGAGCGTAGCTATATTACACATATTAACAGAATGGGAGAGATTTAGCCCAGTACCATTCCTTCTGACAATGTATGATCTGTACATAGACCAGCTCTGGGCTACTAGCCAAAGCAAGATCACTAACTTTTTTTCCCCCAGTCAGATCCCATTCCCTGTTCAGATCGTAGGAGACCCTTTAAAGTCAGAGACGGGAATTTGGGAGGGGTGGGAGAAGAACAACGCCTCTCGGCATGGTCCCCTGAATGACCCATCCTTTAGGGTGGCAGAAGAGCTGCAAGCCTATTCATCCTCAGAACAGCTTCCATCTACCGGGGGCAATGCCGGGAAATAACAGACTTGGTGCACGAGAAGGTTCGGAACCGGGAAAAAAGGGTCCCGGGCGCAGGCAGAGAGGAAATAAAGACCAGCAATCTGAGAGAGAGAAGGAAACCGGGCCGGAGCTGGGGGTAGCCACACACACTCCCCCCATATTCGAGCTCCCTGGCAGCAGGAATCAATGCTACACGACCTACCTACCCGACGTTCTGAGGGATCCTGGGGTCAGAATGACAAGCCTCTGCGACAGTCCCCTCAAAGGCGACCTACGCGGTGAGCGAGCTGCACGGCGCATGCGCCAGCCCGGCGCTTCCTCCACGTGGCGCGGAGTCGCGCGCAGACTACAGTTCCCAGAATACCTAGCGAGCGCGCTCCCCGGGTCCCTCCGGCAGGCGCTGCCCCAGGCTGGTCAGTTGTTGGGCGAGAATCGGGCAGGGCTGGTGAAGGGGCATCTTCTCCCGGAGGGGCTTAAGAAAGAAGACTGAAATGTCGTCATTGATCAGAAAGGTGATCAGCACCGCGAAAGCCCCAGGGGCCATTGGTCCCTACAGGTAATGTGGCTTGTAGGAGCATTCAGGGACCCCTGGCTTGCGAGGTGGCGGGGTCGGAGCTGCGGCCCCTCGGGGACCAAAGAAGTAAATCTCGTCACAGATGTGGTTGTCTTTTATAACGACAGCTGAGATCTTAGAAATGCTTCACAAATCCCTGCACACCTACCCAAACCCCTCGTTTTACAATATGCAGAATAGTTCTAATGGGCAAAGAATAGGAATGCATTTGTGATTCTTATGAACTCATTGTGCATGCCCATTTACCACTAACAAATAAAATGCAAATCACAACGAAGATAATTTTCTAAGAATGTCCCAATATATACTAGTTAATATATGGGTACTGGCCAGAAAGTCTGCCCTGTGTGCCTTTATTTCTACATGTCAGAAGTTCTTTTAAATAGGCTTCTTTAAAAAAAAAAAAAATACACACAGGCACAGTTTTTTAAAATCTCAACTTTAAAACCATTGGATTTTATTCTATGTGTTCTTGCATTCTTTTTCTCCTAACATAATTGTTATTCTTTTAAATTCTTCACTAAAGCATATCCTATAACCATTTTTCCTTTTTAAAGTATAGTGTCTGTTCACTATTAAAAGAAGAAAAACTAGAAAGTTTCTATAGCTGGAATATGTTAACTATGGCAAACATATGTTGAATCCCTCCTACATGCCCAGTATTTGAGGGATATAAAAATGCGTTGGAAGAAACCCATTGGGAAAGGCCTTCACACACATGGAGGAAAGAAAAAAAAAAAAAAAAGGTTAGTTTAGTGCAGGCTTTATGACAGTCACTATAGCAACCACCTTTTTCTATTAATTCCTACCCATTTTTTACAAAAAGAAAACTGAAGCTTGACAAAGTCAAATTGTCCAAGGTCAGTTAATCTGTAAGTGACAATTTGATTTGAACTCAAGCCCTAGCTTCCTCCTCTAGAGCTTGAGAAATAGCATGAGAAATAGCACTCATGTGTGGCAGAACAGTAATTATTATAGTAAGATTAGAAATAAAATGTATTAGTAAAGGAACAAATGGAGAAGAAGAAAAAAAAAAGAGAAAATAGTTCTAATGGGCAAAGAAAGAAAAAGATTTAGGGATGCTCCTTGTGAGAAGTAGTCCCTGAATTGCATTTTGAAGATTGGTTTTGTCACATATAGCACTGTTGTGAAACTTTGTTAAAAACATTAGCAGAATGTCATGGAGTGAAGGGCATTCCAAATAGAAGACCACTGAGAAGTGGTCTAACAATATGAATTTCAGGCAATGGGCTCTAGAAATCAACCTTAATCATTTAGTTTGCTATCTTTATGATAGGAAAATTGAAAAAGGATTGAAAAGGGAATAATTTTTGTACTGTGATCCACTGTGTGACTGACCCTTTGGGAATTAACTCAAGAGTTGGATTTTACATTTGAAATTTTTGTATTGTGTATTTTGAATTGACCTTGCAAGTCTGACTTAACTTTAGTTTTCTTTGTCTTCCAAATGGACTTCACTATAGCACTACTTCATAAGATAACAGTAGGGATTAAATATGAAGTGACAGAAATTTGATTTTAGCAGAGGCCAGGTTGTAGCAGTTTCCATTGCTGAACAAAAGAGTTTGTTTTGTATGTAGTGAGAAACCATCAGGTGTTTTTGAGCAAGAACTAACCAGATCTCTTTTAAGAAGAGAATTCTGAGAGTATTTTGGATAGAAAAGTATTTTGTGAAGAAAAAGAGAGCATAGTTAAGAGATATTTCAGTATAACCAAAAATCAGTAATCTTTTTCCTCCTTCTGCCTAAACTCTCTCCCTAAATCATTTAGAGTAACACTTTTTGTTTACTTCAGAACAAAAGTGACCCTTAACAAAAACCAAAGTGATGTTATACAAGACACTTTGTCCTAGAACCTGCTAAAAGCATTCACCTCTCTTGACCTATTTAGAAATACTGTGTTCTTTGTTGAAGAATGAAAACATGTCATGAATATTCTTGGTTGACTTGGAAGTGGAAGCTGCTAACAGAACAGAGGGGAAATCCATGAATGTGCCAGTGTGACAGAAAGGCCATTAGCCAGCTTCATGATAAAGACTTTCCAGGACCTTGGATCCAAAGGATTCAAACACAGGTCACTAGAAATGGACCTTATTGTCAATATTTTACAGTGAAGAAAAAACACACTCCAACTATTTATATCCTGATAAAGTCAACTGGACATATTTTAAGAACCACTTGGAAAGAAGAGTTTTTGTGCATGGAGTTTGTAGCAAGTACAGTTTTTGAAAATTCTGGGTCTTCTCCAGAAAGAATTCTAGTGAGTTGAACTGTCAGTGCCTGGCCTTGGGATGGATGGGTGCTGTCATTAATTAGCTAGACAGTTCAGCACATTTTGAGATACTTCAGGACAGAACCTTCAGAGATTGCAACATCATGATGTTATTGCATTGTTTTCATTTTGCCATTACACACCAAGCCAGTCCTAATGCGACATAGATTATGACATGAGAGTTAATGATTTTAAAAGTGTTTTTACCCTTTGACCTCAAAGCAGAACAACATACTTTAAAATTTTCTGGAACCTAACAACTTATCTACGCCTATCTGCAGACAGTAGGATTCTTATACTCAGTATTAAGGGGGCTGGGAGTGTAGCTCAGTGGTAGAGTATTTACCTAATATGCACTAGGCTTCTTGGTTCCATCCCAGCATCTCACACACACATGCACCAAGTTTCCAGTTTTTGTTAACAAAACCTCTTTAAATTTCCAAGAAATGACTCACATAGCTCAGATAGTCTGAATTCCAATTCTTACTTTTAATAGTCTGAAAATAAGTGGATTATTTACAAAGTTTTTGATAAATGATAATACATATGGGCTTGAAGTATGTTTCGGATATGGGGAGAACTGAAAGTACTTTGTAAAGGGCCCAGAGCAGATGGCCTAATGGACAGAGGAGTTAATGGACATGTTAGCTAATGGTAACTGTTCAACCTGAGAAAAGGTTACAAATTAACGAGCTCAATAGTTACTTATTTGCAAATTAGAGTGAAAGCCAGATAGTTGAAAAGAATTCCTAGACTTTTTAAATCCTATTACTAAATTTAAATCTGTATTCTTCAGCTCTCCAAAACCCACATCATGAGCCAACGGTACTTCTAAAAAGATATTTATTGATAGCCAAAATTGTTTATGTTACTAAGTGATTAGAGGGCAAAATATCAACAAGTAGTTATATCATGCCTGCTGTGTACATCCAAGGGACCAACTGGTTCCTGCACAGCTACAGAAACAGGACCAGACACTAGCCCTAGGATACCCTGGAAGATAGGGACTATGAGACAGTTTCCTGTACTGCCATAAGAAAGACTCAACCAGAGGACCCTGGGATCTGGGCTTGGTTACTTGCTCAGTGGAAGTGTGCATGGAGTTGTGTGTATGTATGTGTGTGCATATGTGATGGTTTTGAATGTAGCTTTATTTATAATAAAATATTGAAAGCAAAGTTGATCAGGCAAACAAAGTTTACACAGTGAAGAATTGTGTAACTGTTTTAAAAAATCAAGGAAAAATTCTACATATAGTTATGGAAAGATCTTGGTGATATACTGTCGGGTGAAAACAGCAAGTGTACAATAGTGTTGAATATACCATATTTTGTGTAAAAGGAGGGAGATAAATATATTTGTTTGGTTCCTATATGCATGAAGAAACTTTGGAAGATTACATAAAGGAAAACCTTATCTGAGAATATTAATGTTTTTAGTGCTCTTGGCATTGCATTTTTCTGTTTTACAGCTTAAATGATAAGTTACTTATTTAAAAGATGCTTTTTAGGTATAGAGTTTCATGAGTTTTAGTAAACATATAGAGTCATATCCACTACCACAATCAAATTTTAGAACATTTCCATCACATACACCACCCACGCCCCCCCACCCCAAAAATTCCTTCAAACTTATTCATGATCAGTCCTCGCCCCTGGACCCAGCAAACAACTAATCTACTTTCTGCTATCATTTTTGTCTTTTCTAAAATTTCATATAGAGGCTTAGAGTACTAGAGCACTTGCCTAGCACATCTGGGACTCTGGATTCAATCCCCAATAATGGAGGTGAGAGGGAAAAGTCTGAGATTTCATATAATTGAAATTAAACAATTAGATCTATGAGTGATTTTTAAATTTTTATTTATTTATTTATTTATTTATTGGTGTCACGAACAATGCTGCTCTGAACATTTATGTAAAGGCTTTGGACATACATTTTCATTTCTCTTGGATAGTTGCTGCCTAGGAAAGAAACTACTAGGTTCTGTGTTGAGTATATGTTTAAATTTTTAAGATACTGCCAAAATTTTCCAAAATGGCTGTACTATTTTGCTTTCCTACAAACAGTATATGTGTTTCTCATTGTTTCACATCCTCACCAATGTTGGTTATTATGAGTGAAATGTATGGTGTTATATTATTATGGTTTTGCTCTGCATAGGTACCTCTAGTGACTGACCTTGAGCATCTTTTATGTACTTCTTAGCTCTTTGTAGGTCTTCTTTGGTGGAGTGTCTATTTAATCATTTGCCCTTTTTAAAAAAAATAGTTATAGATAGACACAATATTTTTTTATTTTATTTATTTTTATGTGGTACTAAGGATTAAACTCAGTGCCTCACATGTGCGAGGCAAGCGCTCCACCAGTGAGCCACAACCCCAGCCCTCATTTGCCCATTTTTAAAATTAGGTTGTTCATCTTCATATTATTGAGTTTAAAGAGTTCTTCACAATTTTTTTTAAAAAAAGAGTTCATATATTCTACCTACAAGTCCTTTATTAGATGGATGTTTTGCAAATATTTTTCTCCCAGTCTTTGATTTGTCTTTTCATTTTCTCTATCTATTGATAAAAGTTTTTAATCTTAATGAAGTCTAATTTATCATGTTTTATTTTGCAGTTTGTGCATTTTGTGTCCTATCAAAGGACTCATTTAGCACCGAATTTTATATTTACATTTTATATATACACCAGCTTTCTGTTCATTGCAGTCAAGCAGTGTTAGTGGACAAGACCGTTTACATCTCTGGACAGATAGGCATGGACCCTTCCAGTGGACAGCTTGTACCTGGAGGGATAGCAGCAGAAACTAAACAAGTAAGTCATTTTCCACATTTGAAATTCACTTTGCTACGATTTTTTAATTTTGATCAGTATTAATAACCCCCTACCTGACTTGTGTTATAGACATTAACAGATAAATGCCTTTTAAGCTATTCATTACTTGACTTAAGCCAGTTTTTGATTGAAGAGAGTTGGAAATTTAATGAATCATTTAACAACCAAAAAAGAGTATTCCATCTCCTGCCAAGATGCAGGGGCACACACCTATAATCCCAGTGACTCAACAGGCTTTGGCAAGAGGAGCATAAATTTCAGGCCAGCCTCAGCAACTTAAAGAGGTCCTCAGCAATTTGGCAACACTGTGTCTCAAAATTATAAAAGGGCTAGGTGGTAAAATGCCCATGGGTTCAATTCCCAGGACCAAAAAAGAAGGAAAAAAAAAAAGGACCAGAATCATCAAAATCAAATAGCATGTTGCCACCTACACATGGATTGGGAAATTTTCTTTTTAGGGCCACTGACCCCCAACACACACAAATAAAGCCACCACTACAGAAGTAAAAAGTCAGCATTTGTTAATAAGAAAAAAAATATTAACCGTTTTACACAGTGTGTTTGGTTTGGTTGGTTCAGCTGGACTGGGTTTGGTTTTTTGGTACCAGGGATTGAACCCAGGAGTGTTTAACCACTGAGCTACACCCCTAGCCTTTTTACTTTTTATTTTGAGAAAGAGTCTTGCTAAGTTGCTGAGTCTGGCTTTGAACTTTCAATCTTCTACTTCAGGCTCCCAAGTCACTGGGATTACAAGCATGTACCACCATACCTGGCTACATACTGTGCTTTTAAAAAAGAATGATGAATACAATTCTATTTCAAGAATAGAATTAAATTATAACTTAATACATTCACTAAGTTGTTTATAATAACCAAAGATAGAAAACAACCTAAATGTCTTTTCATAAAGAACTAGTTGAAAAAATCATGCTAGACCCATACAAATAAATTGCTAAGCAAAGCTCTCAAAGGTAATTTGTTACATGATAAAATCCAACCAAGAGCAGAATAGTATACACGATAGGCTGACAGGTGTGTATGTTTGTGTGTTTAAGAGTATGTTTATTTATGCATGGACTCTCTAAAAGATTAAAAAATAAGAAGCTAGAAACAGTTTGTTACCCTTACTAAGGAGTAAGGAGAGGATACATCTTTTCTCTGCATGTACTTGTTCACAGTTTTTAGACTTTTGTCTTACTCAGGTAGTATCTATTTAGATTAATTATTAGTTTAAAATACAAAAAATGCAATCATATATTTTCAACAGTAAAGTGAGGAGGAAGAATAAGTTGAAAAGAATAAGTTAAGGATTTGGTAACAAACTGATATTTTTCTGGAAGCTGAAGCATCAAACACATACAAAATTCACTAATATTGTTTTTTGAGGAGAAAAAGAGCCTTTTAACATCAAATATTACTTTAAAAGAAAACATGTTTTAATGCTTACTACCTCCTTGAAGTGATGTAGAATTATATAAAGTAGTGATATAGAATGAGGAATCCCAGAACTTATTTGTTTCAGCTTAATTAATGGATATTGACTGAAAACTTCACACTCTTTAGCACTGAGGAAGGGACTTCCTTTCAGTCTTTTCACTGTATTTCATAAAGATTCATTCCATTAAAGGAAAACCAAGAAGGAGTTTATAGAAACAGTCTAGAAAGAGTGGGGAGAATTTTTCTGCAACATAAGCTACTCAAGGAGGTACTAGTAAAAGATGATTCACCGAATTTAATTAAAACTTTAGTATTACACCAGTGTCTTAGGCCTCTCTTTGCCTTGGTTTACAGGCTCTTACAAACATGGGTGAAATTCTGAAAGCGGCAGGCTGTGACTTCACTAATGGTAAGCAACTTGGTTTTCCTTCACTGTTAATTTCTCTTTGATATTTCCTTGGTCTTTTTGAAAAACATGGCATTTAGTAATGTCATACCGTGTTGTTTTTTAAAGTTGTTCTAATAGTCTGGAAAACAACTCTGTTCTAACTTCACTTTTTCAGACCCCTTTCAGTCCCATTTTAATCAAGACAGTCACAGAATCATATATGGTTTTTCTAAGAAATGTTTTGAATCAGACCAAGTTGCTAAACCTAATGAGAATGTATATATCTTCTAGTGGTCAAAGCAACTGTTTTGCTGGCTGACATGAATGACTTCAATACTGTCAATGAAATCTACAAACAGTGTAAGTAATTTATCTTTTTTTCTTATTCACAGTTTTAAAGAGAAATGAATTGTTAACAAAATGAGTGCCCATTATCAATTAAAAGTGACAGGAGATGGTAAAGAAATGGCATCTTGTTCTTAAAAAATTAATAAGTCTAGAGGGGCCAGGCACAGTGGCACATACCTGTAATCCTAGCAGTTTGGGAGGATGAGGCAGGAGGTTCACAAGTTCAAAGCCAGCTTCAGCAAAAGCAAGGTGCTAAGCAACTCAGTGAGACCCTATCTCTAAATAAAATATAAAATAGGGCTGGGGATGTAGCTCAGTGGTCGAGTGCCCCTGAATTCAATCCCTAGTATTCAACCCCCAAATTAATAGTCTAGCCAAGCACCTTGGTGCATGCCTATGATCCCAGCAACTTGGGAGGCTGAGGCAGGAGGTTTGCAAGTTCAAGGCCAGCCTCTTAGCAAGACCCTGTGACTTAGCAAGACCCTGTGTGAGGTCTTACTGGGGATGTGGCTTAGTGGTTAAATGCCTCCAGGTTCAATCCCTGGTACTCCCTCTCCCAAAAAAAAAAAAAAAAAAGTCTTACTGGAAACATACAATATATCCCCATGAAAAAGCTCTAAGATATTTCTGTTACATTCCCTAAAATAATATACAAAAACCTACAAATCCATTTTCCGTTAGACCTTTCTTAGGCTTTTTGAACCCTCATAAACATTTCTGATATGTATAGCTCATGTTTGCTAATGCTATGATATGGTCTAACCACCATCTCATAATCTCTAGCTAATTAGCTATTTTATATTTCCATGTCTTGTTTCCTCATATGCAAAGTGGAGATAACATACTGCTACTCTATAGGATTGTTTGAATTGTTAAATAAATTAACACAAACTGTAAAGCAGTTAAGACAAATGCTGTCATATTGTAAGCACTGAGTAAATGCTGATATTATCACTGCTGTAGTAGGGAAAATGGGTGTCCCTCCCACCTGGAAGAGACAAAGGCATCACATGGAAAAAGTATCATTACTTATTGTCTCCAGAAGAAAAGACTAGAGAAGATCAAAATTAGTGAAAAAGTACCTGCCAGGCTAAGTGTGATAGCACATGCCTGTAATTCTAGCAGGCTGAGGCAGAAGGATTCCAAGTTGAAGGTCAGCTTCAGCATCTTATCAAGGTCCTAAGCAATTTGGTGATACCATCTCAAAAAGAGTTGGGGATGTAGCTCAGCAATAAAGCAATGGATCCAATCCCAAATACCAAAACAGGGAAGGAAAGTACTTGCCAAAATTGCTGGATATAGGGATTTAGAGAGACATTCCCTATTAAGATTAACTGGTTTGCAAATATCACTTCAAAGAGCAAATCCCATTCCTATCAAACAAAATCAAAATGATAGAGTATGTATTTCATTTTTTTTTTCAGAAAGCTGACAGGAAAGCATTAAAAATTATAAAAAATACATCAAAACAGTTTATCAAACAGAATCTAAATGTGAGATTTTTTCCTGAAATGTTACTTATAACTAAGAACTGACTAGTCCTTGTAGCACTTACCAGGTTCTTGATCATGGAGGCTGAACAGTACAATGGCTGGAAACTAAAAGGAAATTCTTTTAAATTCAGATTTCAAGAGTAATTTTCCTGCTAGAGCTGCTTACCAGGTTGCTGCTTTACCCAAAGTAAGTATAGTTAAAATGAGTAATGTACACAGTTTTAAAATGCTACATTGTTTTCTGAATATACCAAACTAAGTTAAGTGCTGTGAAAAGAAATTAAAAATAAAGAAAGGATATAGTCCCTGCTTCCCAAGAACTTAAAGTCTTAAAGTAAACATCCCATATTACATGCAGGGGAAAAACATTAGGAAGCCTTATAAGGCATGAATATAACAGAATCAGTACTTAAGTTGTGAGAAAAAGCACAGAAACAGCTGTATTGTCATAATGTTACTTAGAGAACAATAAAATTGAGCCAGGCTTTTAATTCTGCAATAAGAATTTTATTTGGCTATCGTATAATAAAAAATCCAGATCTACCACTAGAAAAATGTTCTCTACTATGGCGTCCATATTTCACCATTCTGGTTTGGTATTCTGATTTCACTAGAAGCTCTTTTCCTATGCTTTTAGCCACACAATATTCCTATAAAGAAGTTTAAGCCTTTACTGACTTAAACTTGTAATTTTCCACTGAACAAAATTTAAGAGTGGCATTTTTATTGCTTTGTTACTTATAGTAATCATTATCATCAAACTTAGTAAGTTATTGGGTATAGTAAAAAGAGTTCTGAATTTGAAATCACAAGACAAGGATCAAACCTGTGCTATTTACCTTTTTGACTTGGAAACAGTTAATCAGCCTGAACTTTCATTGTATGAGTTGAAGATTGTCTATCTAATAGGGCTGCCTATGAGAATCAAATGAGCTAATGTACATGAAAGTGGGGAGCATGGTAACCTGGCCTGCTGTAGGTTCTTGGTGAATATTTCCTCTTCTTTCCTGCTTTGAAAAGTTTATTTTTAAAAATACTGTGTTGCTGTTAGCTTCACATTTTTTGGAAAGTATTACTAAACTCTTTAATTTGTACAAAATAATGAAAACATTGTTTTATTATTTACCTTACAGGGAGCACGCATTGAGATTGAAGCAGTGGCTGTCCAGGGACCTCTCACAACAGCAGGTCTATAAGTAGGCAGTGTTATTCTCATCATGTCTTTAAATTAACATTTTGATTCTTACAATTGATGTTGAAAGTGTACATGTGACTAAAATATCTGTAGTTATCATGGAAATACCATATCATAGAGGGAGTTGACATGAATTGAATATTAGATAATGAATCCAGTTACTGATGCTACAAATTACAAATGTGTACACTCATTGCTGAATATGGGAGAAGGGACACTCATTACATAGTCACTCAAGTAAACTAAAGTACAAGGAATAATAACACAGGTAGATGAGTTAATGTTCCTGAAAAATAATAAAGAGCCTAATTCAATTACATTCTATTTAATTAAACGATATGAAGTATTTAGTTCTCATGTTAGATATGTGATTCTGCTTTTACTTTAGTAAAATATTCACTCTTGAATTGTAGAAGTAAAGAAGAAAATGGACCAAAATTTTATATAGATAATATTTTTCTAATGGAAATAAAATACACATGCAGATTTCCCTACGTGTGATTTTGTTCACTTATTTTGTAACAGTTTAATTTATACATGAAAACACATTTACCAAATAAAAATGGGGAGGGAACCATGAAGTAAATCATCAGCTATTTCACTTTAAGTTTATTTTTAACTTTGTATATTTTTACACTGTTGTGTTCAAGTTATATATAATCACCTTGTGATTGTTCTTTAAAGTCATTCTTTTTCTTGGGAATGGAGATGAGTCTTGCTGTGTAGTCCAGGCTGACCCTGAACTCCTGGACTCAGTCCTCCTGCCTCACCCTCCCAAGTAGCTAGGATTACAAACAACACTGTTCCTTGGCCTTTTAAAGTCTCTCAACATTCTTAGACAACTATTACATAAATACTTCCCCTCTGTAGAATAAATCCCAATTCAGAATTATGCCAAAGAAAAAGGAAAATTCCCCACATTCATTTTCCAGTCTACTTACCTTCCCAAAGAGAATGAACCTCCGTTAAAGAGTTTTTATTCATTAAATACTTGATTATTTGGGGGTTATGTTTGTTTGTTTATTTATATAAATAGGACTTTGCTGTACACATTATTCTATAGATCACTTTCTGTCTTAAATATCTTTCCATAAACATATGTATAAATCTTCTGCATTTTAAAAACTATTATAATGTTCTTTTGTGTGGATATACCTTAGGTGATGTAATGATTCCTCCAAACAATACAGTTTCCAAAATTATCATATTATAGCAGTGCTGCCATAACATTTTTATACATACAAATAATACAAAAGTATATGTTAGGTTGTTAAGAGTCATAGGAAACAGCAAAGCAAAAGATTTGGATGATATTGGTTGGGATTATTACACTTTTAAGCTCAGTAAGAAGGGAAGGCTTCACCGAGGCGACAATGGAGTTAAAAATGTCTGTTGAAATTTATTGAACTTTTTTTCTGTACCTGTGGTAATGTTGTTACTATGGTAAAATACAATAATTTTGTGATGTAGAATCCACTGTGTATCCCAACTTAGCTTCAATATATGTATTTATACACACTCTCTCACACACACACACACATATATATGTATATATATATATATATATACGTACATACACATATTTTGTGCGGGGGGAAGGTTTGTAGTTTATTTGCTGCAGTTCTTTGGCAATAGTTTACAAAGCAAAAACAATTGGAATAATAATTATTTTTTTAAAAAACCCTGTCAACAACTTTCAGTCATTTCTACACCCATATTTTTTATACATTCTTAATAGTTTGGATATTTGTTTTTATGTTCATCTGTGAGATTGCCTTTTCACTTCTATACCACATTTTATGGGGCTGGGGGCAATGCTCTTACCTAGCCCATGTGAGGCACTGGGTTCTATCTTCAGCACTGCATATAAATAAATAGATAAATTGAATGACTTTTTTAAAAAAAGATTTTGTGGCTGTAAATATCTGTCCTGGAATGCTTGATAGAGTTTGGCTAGAAAACTGGGCTATATGTTTAAACTGATTCAATTTATTTCATGGTAACAGAAACATTCAGATTTTCTGTAGTCAGTTTGGTCATTTAGTGTTGCAGAATTTGCTCATTCCTTCTAAACTTTCATGTTATAGGCACCTTTTAATCCTGCTGTCTCTATTAAACGTGCCTATTTTTCCATCTCTTTTTTTTTCCTTTATCAGTCTCCCAGAAGTTTATCAATTTAATAATCTTGTTAAAGAACCACTTTTTGGCTTTGTTGATCCTTTTCTATTGTATGTCTCTCTCCTCCCCTCCACTCCCCTTTCTCCCCTCTCCTCTCCTTTCCTCCCCTCTCCCCTCCTCTCCCCCTCTCTCCCTCTCTCCCTCTCTCCCTTTCTCTTGCTCTCTTTTTGGTGTTGCTAGAGATTAAAACCAAGGATTTGGGTGTGTGCCAGTCAAGCATTCTCCTCTCCCACTAAGCTATACCCTCAGCCCTTATATCTTATTTTATCATTAATTTCTGCTCTTACATTTTTATTATTTCCAGCTTATTTATAGGACATCTCTTTCTACCTTAACATGAAGATTCTCATATTTGTAAATGATGGAAACTCAACTCAAACTAGTGTAAGAAGAACAAAAAAGGAACTCAGGCTCAGATCACCCAGAATTCCAGGGTATAGCTGACTTCAGACACATGTGGTCCAGAAACCTCATGGTTCTGTCTGTCTCTTGTGGGAAGATGCTGCAGGTCCAAACATACAGGCTACCTGTATACTAGCTCCAGCTGAAAGATACCATTTCCTAGTATATCTGGAAAGAGACTCAGGGAAGTCTCTGATTGGTCCAGCTCAAGTCAGGAAAGAGCCATTCCAAAACCAATAATTGTAGTGAAGAAAATTTGATCCAGCCAGGTTGGTTCTAAGAGGAATGGTTGTATGTAAGTCATGACTTAAAAATCAAACCCTAGAATGAAAAAGCTAGAAGGAAATAAGGTACCGGCACCCAGGTTAATTAACTTAATGACTGTGTCAGGATTTTTAATCTTCTTTCCACTAAATCAGAACAGAATCATTAGACTTTGTTAAATGTGAAAAATAATAATTGCAGTATGTTGGCCTTTCAAACATAGAGCAAGCTCTTTGAAGTATGAGATATCTAAATGAGTCACCTATATTTCCTTATTGTTGCCATATTTCTACCTTTGATAGGGTATATATTTTTAGTTTGCTGTTTTCTGAAGAACACCATGAGCCAAAAGAAATTTTATATATGTTCCTGTAGTAACAATTAGATAAATATACCAAGATAAGATTCAAACACTGTATTAATTCTAATGACATATTTATTCAATCAAAATTATAAATGTTGAAGCAAGAGTACAAAACAATTTTATAAAATTTCCCATAATTGCCCCTAAAGCCAATTATAATTAATTATAAGGAAATTACCTTGATTATATATGAATAAACAGCATTTGTCATCAACAAATATTTACATAATGTTGAATTTGTACTAAGTCCTGTAAGTAAAACGAAATATGAGATGCTTTTCCTGCCTTAAAAAGGGCTTACAGTCTTCTCACTTCTACCATGTGTTTAGTAATTGGAAAGCATTAAAAATAATTTCAAAAATCCATTTCATGAACTATTCATAAGTCATAAATCATGGTCAGCTAAGTGCTAATATACTTAAGAACCCAGTTTTTTCCTCTATACCACTAATCAATGTTCACTAATATAGCAACTATAATTGGACCCTTCTCTTTAACTTATTATCTCCAACAAATTCCAATGGGGAAAATCTAGAATTACTGTGCTCATTCAATAGATTTAACATTCTATCAACTATTGTGCCTTGTCTAACTTGTTACAAATTTTGCAATCAAAATAATAATAATAACCCCACATATACATCAACATGCTAACAGTGATGATTTTTGACCTGAATTTTGAACTGAATTACAGGTAATATTTAGATTTCATCTTAAGAAATTCATATTTTCTGAATTTCTACAATGCTTTCATTTTTAGTAAGAAAAATTTTAATAAGCCTTTCCCTGAAATAATTGCATAAATAATCACTGTGTCCCATTTCAGTACCTAAACAAAAACAGTGGTTTTTTTGTTTTTTGGTTTTTGTTATTTTTATCAAAAAGAAAAAGGTTATTTGATTTTGTGGTGCTCAAGATGAAACCCAAGGGATTGTGCATGCTTGTCAAGTGCTTTATCACTAAGCTACACACCTTCAGCCTTTTTTTTTTTTTTTAAGACAGGGTCTCACTAAGTTTCTGAGGCTGACTTCAAACTTTTGGTCTTCCTGCCTCTGCCTCCAGAGTCTCTAGGATTGCCAGGAAGCTGGCCCAAAAAGTTTTTAAATAGCTCAGATATCCAGAAAACTTAAAACTCATCCATACTGATCTATTAACTACTAGTTGAAATCAACTACTAGTTTATCCTTTCCTAAAACTGTTAGGGGTATGGTGATGGTTAAAAAAGATAACTTTGGGGCCTGTAACTTCCCAGTGAGATGCTGGGGCCCAAACTATCTATAAAAATAGCATGGTTGTAATCTCTAACAAGTGATTATGTGCACCAAAAGAACACAAATATAAACCCTAGTAGCATAATCTAACTATGGCCATTCAAGATTCTGATTAGCTAAATGTGAAAAAAAAAATTCCTTTAAAAGCAATTCTTAATTCAAGGCCAGGTTTGGGGAAAAAAAATTGTTAAGAGTGTGTGTGTGTGTGTGTGTGTGTGTGTGTGTGTGTGTATGTGTGTTTTGACTGCTCAAAAGCTATTCGCTTTGTTAGAATCTCTTACTCTAAAGTCTAAATGGAAAAAGCAATAAGATCACAGGTCCATCACACTTTTTTATCCTGTGGATCCCCAGCGGGTGGCACTTCAAGCCAAGAGTTTGGGATCTGGCCTGAGTATTTCCTAGATTTGCGACTGGCAAAATGTTCATCCCTATTGGTGATACTAGTTAGAAAATCATTTGTTCACTATTTCCCTCCTAGGTAGGCATAGAAAATAATGAAATTAAAATTAGTAGGACACAAACTGGACTACAAAGTGCCTATTTTACCTAAAATCTAAGAAAACAAAGTTTCTAAAGATGCCTTAGTAGCCATATTAAGGACTATAGACAAAAGTACAGAAAGTACCAAAAATTGCTGGGCAGGGTGGTGCACATCTGTAATCCCAGCAGCTCAGGAGGCTAAGACAGGAGGATCATGAGTTCAAAGCCAGCCTTAGCTACTTAGTGAGGCCCTAAGGAACTTAGTGAGACCCTGTCTCAAAAAACAGACTGGGGATATGGCTCAGTGGTAATCCACCTTGGGTTCAATTCCTGGTACCAAAAAACAAAGAAAGAAAAAAATATATTTATACAAATTTCCAAAATTTTGAGAATTAGTTGACACACTAATGGAAAAGAATGGAATTAATAAACACTTTGGAAAACTTAGATCTCTTTAAATATTAAAATTTTAATAAGTCACCAAAAGAATGGACTTTTATGCCTATTAATCCTCCTATTTCAGTGCTTGATACAAAGAATAATTCCATTTATTAAGGTGATCACTTATATTTTATACTAAGCTCTGACTTTTTTCAAGTTCCATTTCTTTTTTTAATATTTTTTTAATTGTAGATGGACACAAAATCTTTATTTTTATATGGTGCTGAGGATTGAACCCAGTTCCTAATACATATGAGGCAGGCACTCTACCACTGAGGTACAGCCCCAGCCCCTTAAGTTCTATTTCAACTGATAAATCATAAATATAAATACTCATATTCATAATATGAATAAATGATTTATTCATATATGTGTATGCATTCTGAAATGATTGAATCAAGCTAATTAGCATATTTATTATCTCACATACTTATCAGTCCTGGTGTTTTCTACTTACTAAATACATGTAAGAAAGTATCTTCTGGTCAGAAAAAAAATATCTTTGAATGGAAACATGTAGCTCAAAAGATAAATTTTATCAGTTCTTGATTAATATAACTTTCTGACCTAAAAATTCTGGTTTTAGAACTACACCAAACATGAAGCTATTCATTTAGCTTGTGATATGAAAATGAATTTTCCTGTTTCCCAGATAGGATATGGGTAATATCACACAAATTCATATTTTAAATGTATTATTTTCTTTTTCTTTCTTTTTTTTTTTTCATACAAGGGATTGAACTCAGTGGCACTCAGCCACTGACCCACATCCCCAACCCTATTTTGTATTTTATTTAGAGACAGGGTCTCACTGAGTTGCTTAGTGACTTTGTTGCTTTTGCTAAGGCTGGCTTTGAACTCATGATCCTCCTGCCTCAGCATCCTGAGCTGCTGGGATTATAGGCATGAGCCACCACCCCAGCTTAAATGTATTATTTTCTAAATGAATTTAGTATAAATAGGAACCCTTGGTATTATTCATTCATTGAATCAACAGAAGTGTAGAGTACCATTAAAGGAGCTAAATGCCTGAAATTAAAGACAGATAAAACAGAAATCACAATCTTCTTTATTTTGCAGATAGGATGACATCATCCACTCAAAGAACTCCTCTTTTATCTACCTTTGAACACTTTAAAGTCAGAAGCATAAACTAATACTAAAATCAGAACTAAGATGATGTACTCTTCCCTGTATCCTATATTTTTTTTTCTTTCTTTTCTTTTTTTCTTTTTTGGTGGTACTGGGGATTGAACATAGGGCCTTGTGCATGTGAGGCAAGCACTCTACTGACTGAACTATATCCCCCACCCCTATATCTTATATTCTTACCACAGGTCCTCTCAGTAGTCATTTTAATATATACACTAAAGTAAGAGTAGTTAATACATCTTAGAAGTTACCTTAAAATATACATATATGTAAAAATAATAGAATCCAAATATTTCCAGAATTCTACCAATATTCATAAACACAAGGCACTTGGTGGGAAAATTATCAATCATTATTTATTATTCATGTACAATCATTTACCTTTTCCAACTTTGGAAGAATTCTTGAAAAGTGATTTTCTGTGCTACCTAATGTTTACACTACAAAATATTATAAATATTTTGATTTCTTATCTTCTTTACCCCTAAAACCTAATATTAATATGCAGTCATCTAAAAAAGAATAGGGCCCAGGAAGACTCCACATAGCATCAAATCTAGGATTTAATCCTTGGTATTTGTTGTCTCTGAAATATATTAAATGTCAATTAATTTAAAATGCTTTTAATGTTAGTCCAACACCTCACATAAGTGTAAAATCAGCAGCTGATTCAAAAAGGCACAAATGAAAATGTGGAGCCTTCCTTGCAAAAAATGACTAATCTTGTGACAGCACCAAAGCCACATTCCTTTAAAAAGCACTTTATTAACATAATGTATCATGATAAATAAGGCTCTTGGTAGTAGAGAGACAAGGTGAGAAGATAATGAGATGGCATACTTCCTAAGATTCCTACCAGCTCTAAACTCTATGATAGGACAGAAATACTAGGCCTAGTTTGTCCCATTAATTTTGTGTTGTTCATTTTTATTCCCTCATAATTGAACTACATGAACTTATAATCATGAATTCTCCTAAAATTTGCTACCTTTCTCCAGCCTTCTGTAGCTACAGGTCTATACCTTATATTTAGGTTATCTTTTCCTATACTGAATGGACCCATTGCCACAATAAAGATAGTCACCCTCACGCTCTTAAATGATCACGTAGCCCAGTTTTTATTGGCTCTGGCTAATATGATTTTAAATGTGTCACTGTCCTAAGTAGCTAAGAAAACCATTCCCAGCTTAGCAGTTTCATGGAACAACACAGTCAAGAGCGTGGCATCACTGTCATGGTTCCAACAGTCTACCTACAATCACACTCCTTGTGCAAAATATGTAGCTATAGAAAGTTAAGAACCATAAACACACATACACGAAATGATGCACAACTACAAACTGCATCTCTCCACTGAACCAGGCTGTGTCTGTTCACCCTTCTGTCGCCATCCCCAGCTCTGTGGCTGCTGAAAGATCAACGGCTTCTCCTGTTTCTTCTTCTTTTGTTTCAGCCCTTTCACTTACATTCTCATTCTCCATCTCTGTTTCCACCTTTTCTCCTGTCTCACCTGGAAAAGTAATCCAAAGAGATAATATGAAACACTCACTTAGCATTAACAACAAATTGCTTCCATAGTTTGTTTCCAATGGGGCAGTTTTTGCTCTTAGGTCTATGCAGAAAGTTGCTAAGAGCCACAGCCAAGTAATATGATGCATGGCATTTTTGGTTGAAAAGTGACACCAGCAAGCCATTGAGATGATATGATTATGTTTAGATTCTGCATTCATATGGATATTGGACTCCTGCTGTCCCCCTCGGCCTGCCATGGGACTCCTAGAGAGTTCCCATTGGTTGGGGAAGTGTGGTAGGAGGGAATTCCGAAGGAGGGACTTCCTGTGGGGGTCTGGGAGTACGCCGCGTGGGTCGGTCGGCAATCATCCCTGGAGTGTACAGGGCATTGGCGGCAGTTTCAAAAATAAAGTTTGTTCCTGCTTGAGTGGCTCGTGATTTTGTGCCCAGCCAGACTGCGGCAGAAAGTTTCTTTGGTGGTATCAAGAAAGGCAAGTGTGGCCAATGTCAAGTCCCTGAACATCTTGGTGTCTTGGCATTCCAAATAAAATCAGGATGCAAAATTACCCAAGAAATGGCAATAGAACATACTAGAATGTTTCATCTCTATATAAGTCAAAAGATGGTCCAGGGTTGGCCAAAAATCTGTCTTATTTGACCATTATGGTATTAAAAGAAAACATTCATTAAAGGCATAGAGCTTGCTAGCATTTAAAAGTCTAGATATTGCAAATGTAACTCCCTAAAATCAGTTTGGGCAACACTGGCTCCCATTCCCAAGCAGCATCTTCCTGAGGTCCTCTGAGACTCTCCATGGAATCCCAGAGGCCCCATTTCACTCATTTTCAGCATGGTCACTCATTTTCACATTTGTTCACCTTAATTCTGGATCCTCTTACCATATAAAGAGCTTGATGAAAAGTGAGCTTGGACAAATTCAGAAATTTTGACATGTTGCCTTCAAGGGATGATTTTGATTTTTTTCCAAGCATGGTCTAAAAATATATGTTTTTACTTGCTTCTCCCTTCTTACTCATAGCACTTTTTTGCATTTTTAGAAAAACAACTGCCTCAATAGAGTATAGTAATTTGTTTACATTCTGCCTTCCCCTGATAAACTGAGGGTCCCTGAAGTCAAGGACTATCTCCTACTCATTCTGCATCCTGAGCACCTAGCATATGCTTAGGCACTCAAAAAATACTTAGTTGGGTCAGAGTGGTGGCATATACCTATAATGCCAGCAACTCGGTAGGCTAAGGCAGGAGGATCACAAGTTTAAGACCAGCCTCAGCAACTTAGCAAGCCTGGGTCTCAAAATGACATAAAATATAAAAAAGATTGGGGATGTAGCTCAGTGGTAAAGTGCTCCTGGGTTCAATCCCCAATAGCAAAAAAAAAAAAAAAAAAAACCTGATTTGGGCTGGGGGTATATTTCAGTGATAGAGCACTTACTTGCTCAGCATGTACAAGGTGCAAGATTTGTTCCCTAGCTCCACAAAAACCTGAGTTAGTAAATTAAAGAATTAAGAAACAAATGGTTATAATTAATGTTTCACTTAATTATAAAATACTACGAAGCTAATGTTATTAAAATGTAAATCATGTTGGGGGCTAGGGATGTGGCTCAAGCGGTAGCGCGCTTGCCTGGCATGCGTGCGGCCCGGGTTCGATCCTCAGTACCACATACCAACAAAGATGTTGTGTCCGCCGAGAACTAAAAAATAAATATTAAAAATTCTCTCTCTCTCTCTCCTCTCTCTCACTCTATCTTTAAAAAAAAATGTAAATCATGCCTCAGAAAAAAATGTTACTTTTAGTTATAACTCCAACAAACAATATACTTCAAGAACAGCATAAATATCATTTTATGCTGATAAAGCAGATTAAAATTTTTTAAATACCACATACCAAAACATAATATATTTCTTTAGCCTTCTCATAAAGATAAAAAGATAGGGCTGGGGGAATAGCTTAGTGGTAGAATTTTTGCTTAGCATGTGCAAAGCCTTGGGTCAATCACCAGCACCAAAAACAAACAAACAAACAAACAAAAACAGGACAGGAATAGAATGACAATAATTTTCTAAGGATGTGCTTAACCGAGATGAAAATTACATTCTAAAAGCTATATTCTTTGTGTGTTCTTTCATTAGAAGGTAAAATCCTCCGCTAATAATTTGTTCACCTTAATTCTGGATCCTCTTACCATATAGAGAACCTAATGAAAAGTGAACTTGGACAAATTCAGAAATTTTGACATGTTGCCTTCAAGGGAAGATTTTTTTTTTTTTTTTTTTTTTTTTTTTTTTTTTGGTACCAGGAATGGAATCCAGAGGCACTTAACCACTGAGCCACATCCTCAGCTCATTCATTTATTTATTTTTTTTTATTTTGAAACAAGGTCACTCTAAGTTGCTCAGGGCCTTGCTAAATTGCTGAGGCTGGCTTTCAACAATCCTCCTGCCTCAGGCTCTCAAGCTGCTGGATTATCGGTGCACACCACAGTACCTGGCCAAGGGATGATTCTATTTCACCATCAGACTCTAAGTTAAAAATCTCGACACTATACATAAAGACTATGCTTTAGAAGAGATTTTCTGGAAAGCTGGATTGAGGCTGGATGGAATGCTTGTTTCCCAGGATGGAAGCGTTTTTGGTTAGGGTAATGAACTTCAGCCACCTGAAAGACTTCAGTGACTGTGTGTCAGGCTCCCTCTCCCCCAGTGCTGGTCTATGGAACTCATCTAAATCAACATTCTGAATCTCTAACAGCCTGACTTTACCTTCAGTGTATTGGTCTGCTTGGTTAGTGTGAATTTTTCCAGCCATTTCCACATTTGCCGCTGTCTCTGGAATTCCTTCCGGTTGCTCCATGCTTCCAACTATTCTTTCAGGTTGAATCTGCTCCATGTTTTCAGGACCTTCAGAAGCTGTGTGGAGTAAGTCGTTCATTACAGGAGTTTGCACAGACTGACTTCTGTACAATATTTCTGATGTTAAATTCTCTTTGGAAATTGTTTCTAGAAGCTGGGATTGCTCCTCGTTTCCCACTGTTTCTTGAAATTTCTGTTCTTCATTAGTTTCCACAAACTGACTTCCTTCCAACATTTCTGGAGATTTGTGCTCTTTGGGAATTGCTCCTAGAAATTGGGACTGTCCATCTTTTCCCATTGCTTCTGGAGGCTGCAGCTCTCCATCTGTTCCCAGAGGCTGAATGTTCTCCATTGTTCCTGGAGGTTGCATCACCGCAATAGTTGGTGGATTCCCAGCATCTTCCCCTGTTCCAGAGGAGTTCCTCTCTCCTGCTGTCTCTGAAGATGGATCCTTGACTTCTGAAAGTTCAGTCTGAGCATTTCCTTTTTCAGCCTGAACTTCTGTCATTGTTTCCACATCTTTCTTCTTTTCTTCTGCTCCTGGGGTATCATCTCTGCCACCTAAATGAGGTGCCTCAGATTCCTCGGGTCCCTGGAGAGGCTGAGTCTTCTCTGTAGGTCCTATCTGGTCTATGGCATCCTTTTCAGGGGCTACCTCCTTTGCCAGGGGCCGTTCACGGGATACAACACCATTAGCTGTAGGCACCACTGATGCCTTGGGCTTCTCCAGAGGGGGAAGGCTTTCCCTTTGTATGTTGCCATGAAATATGGATTCTTTTCCTGGTGTGCGGGGTGTGGGTTGGGCAACACAGGAATCACTTTCTTCTGTGGTAGATAAACACTCATTTGAAGTTACTTTTTGATCATTACATTGGGGGGGGGGGAAAGGAAAGAGAAAACACAAAATATTATTTTAGTTTTTTGTCTTGAAAAAATGAACCGATATCAAGAAGTAGATTTAACACTTCAAGACATATCATAGTCAAAGGCCTTTATGTCTTTACCCCAAGCACCTCACCTCAAACTTCACCGAGTTTTCTATTTGTTCATTGTGCACCTTCTCATGGCTCCTATCCCATATTCTAATTTAGCAAAGTCCACTTGTTTCACATGTTCTCTTCTCTGTCCTACCCTTTCTCCTCTTTAGGATTGGGAGGTTTCCCAGTGTGTGATCCTTGGGCTCTTGGGAAGGTCTCACTTTCCTTCTAACAAAGAATGGTCCCAGTGAATGGAAAATGCTCCGTGATGGAGGAAATCTAGTAGGTGAAGGCAATGGTGTCTAGGAAGGGGAGTGACAAGGATTGCTTGACGTGAGTTTCCTATCATTTTAGGGGCACAGTGAGAAGGAAAACAAAGGAAAGTTGGAAACATGCATTTTACTTCCTGTCTCTTCTGGCTCCTTCTGCATCTTTGTGCCTTGGGAAGATAGTTCCCAGGGATCTCATGGGTGTCTCTCTCCCACCCATCTCAGAGTTGCATGAGAATCGGGTCTCACGAAACACTGGGCGCAAAAGTGCTCTCGACAGTTTACAATAAGCAAATTTGCAATATGTTTATACCCATTAACCCAGTAATTCTACTTCTAGAAGTTTATCCTAAAAGCTTAAAACTTAGAAAATGCTTTGAGGGGGAAAAAAAATCTATCATTCAAGTGTTCTTTATAATAGCAAAAGCTGAAAAACATAGGCTGGGGTTGTGGCTCAGTGGCAGAGCGCTTGCCTAGCATGAGTGAGGCACTTGGGTTCGATCCTCAGCACCACATATAAACAAATTAAAAATAAAGG